TAAATATAAATATAATAACACAAAGATGAGAAGTGTCAAAGGTGAAAGGAAAGGATTATGTATGTCTAATGGAAATTTTCTTCAGTATTCAAATAAATAGTACGAAATTAAAAATATCGAAGAAAAGATCACGTATACGTAAACGTATACATATATTTTTGTATACGTAATATGTAACCATGTAATACGTAATGCACACGTAATCACGTAACAATCATCATTAATAGTACATTGACAAAAAAGGTCACGTAAAAAAAGAAGAAGGTCACGTACGTCTAACAGAATCTTTCTTTTTCATAAAATATACAAACTATAAAATTGTATATGATAACGAGTTCTTAAGTTAAACTCTAATTTTCTCATCACTTACTCAATTTCAGTTATTACGTGCATGAATTCAACGTTCGTTCTACATTGTTGCAATTTATTTTCCATCCATTTTTTCCCTATCTATCCCCATTTCTCAGCTTTCTTATCGTTTTCAACAAAATTTTTCGCAATGCAAAAATACAGTTTAATTTATGAATGAATCATCACAGATACGATCGAGAAAAGAGTGAATATAACAATCACTTTTCTCATTCTGAACATATTGAAATCGTAATTGTGTCTCAATTTTTCTTTACATTCCTAACATTTTCTTCCTCTCTCTCTCTCTCTCTCTCTCTGTCTCTCTCTTCCTCTTTTTCAATCTTTTCCTATTTTCTTTTGTTTTTTTGTTGCTTAAAATATTTTCTCTTCATTGTAATATTTTTATTACTGATCAATTTTAGTATGAATTTTTCGATTTATTATCATTTTTTTCCTGATTTTTCATACTTCTAAATATTATATTATTAGTTTGTTGAATATCTGTTAAAATTTGATAATTAAATTTTATAATTAATTTAATTAAAATTTTATAATAGTTTAAAAAAGAATTAATTAACATTAAAATGTTTTTTCATTCAAAAAGATATTTGAGAATAAATATGAAGAAAAGATTTTAGGATAGCCTATTTCTCTTCCCTCTCTTTTTTTTTGCTTGTTTTCATTTTTTGTTGAAAATTTGTTGAAAATTCTAATTTTTTTTCCGAACGAAATTTTAAGTTAAAAAATTGAAAAAAAAAAAAGAAACAAAATGGAAAAATGAAAATATTTCATCCTAATATTATTACTACAATTTTATATTTCATCCTATCCGATCTTTCATGAAATCAATTTTTTCATATTTCGTCATTCTTCTCATTGTTGCATTCTTTTCATATTTTTCAAAATAATTTTTGAAATATTTTCATAAAACATTTGAAACAAATATCCTATATGGTTATAGTATAGTATAATATAAAATAGTATAATATAATATAATATAATATAAAATTTGTATAGCAAAGAGGAAAAAATGAAGAAAAAATTTTGAACCAAAAAAAAATTTATATATATACATATATGTAAATCATTATTTTATAGAACGATAGTTGAAATGAAACTTTAAATTTCAAAATATATTGCTTTTTTTTTCGATTGAAAAATGAGCGTAATATTAAATGGATTAGCGAAATTTTGAAATGACAGCAATTCATAATTATAACATATGGGTTAAATTAATAAAAGATATATTCGAACGATTAGAAAATTTTGATCATCAATTTTGATTTCTAAAATAATTAATCGAATATTAAGTTATTCTTTAAGATGTCTGTTTAAGTAAACTTTGAGAGTAGTCAAAAATTGTTGAAACTTTATGAATCATTTATTTGCAATTCAATTTGCAAATAGTAACAGTGGCATCGAAAAGACATAGTTGTAATTGTTTTTATTGTTGCAATATAATTTATACGGTATACTTAAAGATAATTATAATCACTGTTTGTTTTTATTTTATTTTATATGAAACGATATTATTGTTAACGATATGAAGGAATGGTAATAATCAATTCCGAAATGTTCGGAATGAATTTATTATATATTCGGCAATGTTATAACAAAAATTTATTAAATGCTTATTTTAAAGTTTCCAAATTGACTTTTGAATGCTTTCATATATGTATGATAAATACCATAAATGAAGCATTTTATGAAAATATTTGTTGTGATTGATTGTTGTACAGTCATCATAAATGATATTACAAATTCATCGATCGATTTAACAATATTTTTGTGGATAATATTTTTGATAAACTATCCAAAAGTTTTATCTAACTTTTTTAAAATTTAATTATAAAATTTTTTAATAATAGTTAATGAAAATTAAATTTTTAATAATAGCTAATAAAAAGAAAACTTTTTCAATAGTTTTCTAAAAATGTTCAAGTAATTTGATAATGTAAGGTAGAATTTTCAAAAACTTTTAAGTCATAATTCATTAAGTGATAGCAATTAAGAGAAATTAGGATTATTGAAAGCTTATGAAATATTTGATTTTCTCTACTAACTAAATATAGATGATTCATGATATGATAATTATGAATTGCAATTAATATGTATTTTATATGTATTTTACATAAGTTTTAATTTATATGTATTTTACATAAGTTTTACTTTTATATTTGATATAAGTGTATTTGTATTATATATGTATGTAACGCACATTCGATAAAAACTTAGAATCACAAATTATGCATAATTTTAATTTAATTAGTTAAATGATGAATTAATTGATTTCTATCGATTGATTTGCTCCTATGATAGTTAAAGAATTCTTTAACTCAATGGAATAATAATAAATATTACAGTTTGTTGATTGTGCGACAGTATAATGACAGCAATATTTGCGGTATGTTGTGGTAGACATAAGGATGAGCAGACAAAAATCATTGAGAAGCAACTTCAAAAAGAGGCAAAACACCTTCGTCGACAGGTAATTTCAATTAGGATTTGCTATATGTTTAATGATTAAATCGTTCTTACATAATTAATGTGAAATGAATGATATGATAATTGAAATTTATCAAACAAATTTTTACACTTTTATTGCTTATTTCGTCTGATTGCTTATTTTATCTGAATTATAAGTAATTATAAGAACTGTAAGAAACTTTCGAATTTTTCTGTTTGCCTTAAATTTTCATTTGTCTTGCAGTCTTTAAATTCAAATTACTATAAACTTAAACTGATAAAAAGTTCCATTGATTGATCAATCTTATTTTATAATTTGAATCAACAAAGCATAGATTTTTGTTACTCATACTTTTCGAGTATTAGTAATAATAACCAGTAATTAATTTATATCTAATTTGTGCTACTGTTTTATTATTTGGGAAACAGGTGAAAATTTTACTGTTGGGCTCAGGAGAATCCGGAAAATCAACATTTATCAAACAAATGGTTATCATAAATGGTCGAGGTGAATTCACTGCTGATGAAGTGCGAGCATATCGACAGCAAATCTATCAGATTAGCAATTTGATGAATTTTAAACTAGGCTATACTAGTAAATTGTATAAGCTAGAAGTGTTGTGTATAAAAATAAGACCATAATTCTTGAAATTTTAAACGCTTCATATTCAGTAGGAGATGATATCATTATGATAATTTTGTTACTTTCAAGCAAGTAATTTGAATAAAATTTGAGAGATTTTAGAAGGTTGAAATTTCAGAATATAATTGCGGCAATGAGAGTACTTCTGGATGCACGCCAGAAGCTCGGATATGCTTGGAAAAATCCTGAGAGGCAAAAAAATGTTGATGCTGTTATGAGGTGAAATAATGTTTGAATCATTGATGGACAATTTAAAATATTGCCTTTGATTTTAAGTAGTTTTCAGGTTTACAGCATCAGATATGATGCGAGGTATTGATCAGTCTACTTTTGCCGAAATAGCTCCTCTAATACGAGATTTTTGGGATGATGTATCAATCAAGCAAACATATGAACAACGAAATCTCTTCCAGATTGTAAGTTTCATTGCTATATGATGATTTCAATATCAATTAATAAAAATTAATTGATAAAAGGATGAAAATTTTAGAATTCATTTAAGAGAGATTTTAGGTGATAAACGATAATACAGAAGCGATATTATTTAATTTTGTTAATGAGTATAATTATTATTTTTTGTTTATTTTTAAAAGTATATATATATAGTTTAATTTTAAATTTTTATTTCAGTCTGATTCTTGTATGTATTTTTTCGACCATATCAATCGAGTAGCAATGCCAGATTATTCTCCAACAAATCGGGATATATTATTCTGTCGGAAAGCTACACGAGGAATAACTGAACATGTTTTTGAAATACAGCGAATTTCATTTAGGTATTAATTTAAGTAACAAAATATTAGCTTCATTTAAATTATAATTTAAACCATCCGTTAGATTAGTCAAAAGTAGAAAAATAATATGGAATGGTTTTAAAGAAATCCTTCTCTATAATTTCTTCATATTTTAATGAGTTTGAAAAAAGCATTAATTTTTAGCAATAAACTGAGATTAAAATATTTTTTTTGACTTTAATTTTTGGTTAATTAATTGAGGATAACTTGACGGATTTTGATTAATTAATTGAGGTGAATTTGACGAGATTTTAATTAATTAATTGAGGATAATTTGGCAGATTTATTGATGTTGGTGGACAGCGATCACAGCGACAGAAATGGTTCCAATGTTTTGAAGGTATTACAAGTATACTATTTATGGTCGCTTCATGTGAATATGATCAAGTAATTTTATTTTAATTTTAATTTCTCAATAAGTAAATACTACACTCTGATTAGAATATTTTGATGATTAAAATTTTTCAGAAAGTTTTTCTTATTTTTATTATTGACTTGATATGGAAAAAACTTTAGAAACGTGCTTTAACAGGTGTACTTTCCAAAATTAACATACTGCTAAATGTTTCTTTCCACTACAGGTGATTCTTGAAGATCGAAGGACGAATCGTGTTGTAGAATCGCGATCTGTTTTTGAAACAATTGCTAATAATAAATCATTCGCTAACGTTTCCATTATATTGTTTATGAACAAAAGTGATTTGCTTGAAGGTAAGTGAAAGTTTGATCTTACACGATTTCATATCTTAATTTTATATTTTAGGCAGATAAATAATTTTTGTTCAACGAATTATGGAATTCGCATGATAATATAGCATTTGGTAATATGAGTTTTCCTTTTTTGCATGATAAATAGTAAATAATCTTGTAGAGAAGGTTTCAAAATCGGATATCCGACAGTACTTTGCTGATTTCGCGGGCGATCACAATAGTTTGCATGATGTTCAATTCTTTCTGGTGAATAAATTTGAGAATTGTCGACGTGATAGACGACGGCCATTTTTTTATCACTTTACGACAGCTGTAGATACGGAAAATATCAGACGTGTATTCAAAGATTGTCGTGAAACTATTCTGGAGCAAAATTTAAAAGCATTGATGATGCAATGATAATGTTGGTGATGTGATACCGTTAGTGATAAAAAAAAGTGAAAATGATGATAATGTCTGGATGAGTATATGTATCAACAAGTTTTTTCAATTCTATAAAAATTTGTTCAGTTATTAATTTTGTACTTTGCACCGAATCTATTGATATTATCGTTGAAAAATTTCATTGTAACTCCTGGAAGTTGATGAAATTTGATATCATTTTGCTTTTCTTTAGTTTTTAATTTAATTAGAAATTCTATTAAATGTACAGAAATTTTGCCTTTTGAAAATTGATGATAGCAGGCGAAAATTAGCTCTACCTCAAATTTGAATCTTACTTTTATTTTATATTTTGAGTTATTGATTACAACTGGCAACAATTTACAAAAACGTATCATTAAGATATCAATGAACTATTTTTTCTCATTGAATGCAAGAAACAGTATGTATGTGAAAACAAAATTTTTTCGAAATATTGTTGTATTTGTTAAGATAATTTGCGGTAAGCTACTATTTTCTGATATCAACGATAGCTTGTATCATAAACAATATTGATATCAACTGAAATCGTGAAAAGTCGATGTCTAAACGATGGCATAGTGTATCTAAGTTAATTGTTCAGATCAATGATGAAATAAATCCAAGAATTTTTACCTAAAAGTTTACGTTATATTCATTACAATTTACTATCTAGCCATCTTGAAAAAATGACGGAAAATGATCCAATCGTCCTTAAAGCAGGTCATATTTTTAACTTCGTTGTCACATAAAATTTGCTTCGTAATATTTCAAGTTAGTACGTTTCATTTCATAATCTGATTTGCTTCGCACCTAATTGTGCATGTCCACCGCCAAGATTATCCAGCAACATTCAATATCGTGCGCCAAACTGGAATAAAATCTGATTGCTGAGATCAGATGACCTGTACCACCGAAATACTGAAGAGGTTGTCAATCAAATGAGTCGTTTCACGCCGTCATTACGGCGGCGCATCTTTGGTGATTAAAACGGTTTGTTTGTTATCGCGACGTAAAGGGAAGGAAATTCTTCCTGCTTTCCGTTTCGTTCCACCTAATTAACTGGCAGTTGATCTGGTTCCGGTTATTATGTCCGGGGATTCCAAAGTCCTGACAAAAACCCTTACAACTGTGTTACCAAGTTTCAGCAAAATATTTTAAAAGGATACAATTTTCTATTTTTTATGTATTACCAAAAGATCTCGAACCTTCATCACTCATTCTAGCTTTCTTACTTTTCTCAGTATTCCTTCGTTATTGATTTTTCAGACTGGAACGGAGGGATGCCAATTTTGCCAACTTCTAACACTTACAGCAATCTGTATTCATTTCCGACACATCCGTTTTGTTGTTTTCAGTTTGCTGTTATCTCGTACTTTTTATTATTAGTTTCTGGAGTACTTTCTGGTAATCAATATGCCATGTTTCAGTTTGCAATGTCTTCGTTACTGACAATCAAGCTTAGCCGACAAACGTACGAGATTTGTACAGGTCGGTTAAGTTTATCAAAATTGTTTGAAGTGAAGGAGGGAAAGAGAGTCGTAACAACTCGTATTATTTGATGCTTTAGGAATGCTACGGCATTATACGAGTACTCGAAGTGCGTTACGGATTAATAAAGATACAAAATTGATAATTCAAGGATTCACTGGGAAACAGGTAAAGATGAAGTTTTATAATTATTTGCTTATTTTTCCTGTAAACCACTGAAACCAATGGATAACAAGTGTGTGTGTATATATATATTAAAGAGTGCATCAAATATATTGATTGGGCATTAGCAAGTGTATCATCATAATCATTCCATTTTCTTGCAAAGCACTGAATAACTAGATGACTTCGCTGATCCTGATGACTCTTAATGTTTTTGGAAGACAAGGCTTAAATGAACAGAATATCTAACTTACGAAAGTTCATTGTTTTTTATTTTAGGCGACTTTTCATGGGCAGCAAATGATTACTTATAATACTAATGTTGTTGGAGGTGTTTCCCCAAGCAAGGCCGGTACAATGCATCTTGAAAGACCTGTATTTGGTACTGTCAAAGAAGTCAGTTTAAATCTTGTTGCTTTTGCTCTCAAAAAATATTAATATATATATAGCTATGTTGCATTGTATATCGATATATTTTTCACCCTAGGAGTATGTCGCAGAATTTCAGGCTTGTGAAGCAACAGGTGCGAATGCGTCGGCTGTTTATGTACCACCAGCCTTTGCAGCTAAAGCGATCGAAGAAGCAATAGATGCAGAAATCCCGCTGGTTATTTGTGTTACGGAAGGTATCCCGCAGCAAGATATGGTTAAAGTTCGAAATAAACTGATGAAACAAAACAAAACTCGTCTGCTTGGTCCGAACTGTCCTGGGATAATTTGTGTATGTTCCTGTTTTTCATTGATTTTTGGGTCGTTAGAAGTTAGATTGGGGAGTGTTTCACGAATAACTGTAATTCAGATAGTTATGCTGGACTTTCCGTTTCAAAAGCAGTGTTTGCCCAAGTTTTAGCCAGAGGAATGCAAAATAGGTATTATGCCGGGACATATACATCGGAAAGGAGTTGTTGGCGTTGTTTCACGATCTGGAACTCTTACATATGAAGCAGTCTATCAAACAACAGTTTGTGGTCTTGGGCAGACATTATGCATTGGCATTGGCGGTGATCCGTTTAAAGGCACAAGTTTTATTGATTGTCTTGATATCTTCTTGAAGGATCCACAAACCAAGGGTTAGTTTTTCATATTGCAGTTTTCTTGTCTTCTTTTTTCCATTTCAGTGAATTAAAGTAACGTTTGTACTAACCTGCAAAAAAATGTAATGATGTTGTACTAATGTTTTTGCAGGTATTATTTTAATTGGTGAAATTGGTGGACAAGATGAAGAAGAAGCCGCTGAATTTTTGAAGGAAAATAATTCGGTATTTCTTTTTGCTATGCATTCAATACGAAAATATGCCAAAAAGAATTTATAGTTTCTTTTCGAAATATTTCACGACATGACTGAAGTTGCTTAGGGATCGAATGCTAAACCGGTTGTATCATTCATTGCTGGGCAGACTGCACCACCAGGCCGGCGAATGGGACATGCTGGTGCAATTATTGCGGGTGGTAAAGGAACTGCTGCTGAAAAAATTGAAGCTTTGAAAAGTGCTGGCATTCTCGTAAGTCACTTGAGAAGTTTTCAAGTTATATCAAAACTTTTTTCCGAAATCAATCAACAGACAATTAACAGGACGCTTTTGCAATCGTTTCTTCAATTTTTTTTAGTCATTGCACAACGTAATAATGAGAAATATCTTTACTCATTGATAGTTTAAAGAAAGAATAAATGCATATCACTATGGAAAATTAATTGAATGGAGTATCTGATGGTGATTGGATTTTACAAATAAAGACTGCTGCATTTGTCATATTCAGGTCTCGGCATCGCCTGCGCAAATGGGTGCAATGATGGCGAAGGCTTTGAAGAAAATCTAAAACTGCGGTTCAGAACCAAAAGTCTCAGGCTATGCGGTTATCTTCGAAGCGTTAAATGGAAGTGTTTGTTGATGTTAACCAGTGTTTTTATCGACAAGCCGTTAATGGCAAATATTCAGCTCAGTGTTTGCTTTGCTCTTATGTATTTTTTTTTCTTCATGTATCTTTCATTTTCACCACTTTTCGAATATTTGGGATCCTATGTGTTGTCGTTTGCACAACATTTTACACTTTTAACTTTATTTTACATACTTCTAATTATATTAGGCGGGTGTTTTTTTCTTTACCATTATTAATTAATCTGAAAGTTTCCAATAATTCGACGTAAAAGTACTTCAAACTACTTCGCGGAAAGTACTTTAAGTTAATGAGGAAAAAAGAAATGCGAGGTTCAATATTGTCACTATTTTAACACTAATATTTTTCGAGGCATTGCTGAAAATTTTAAAATTAATGATAATTCAAGATACCATACATTCCGCTATGCTGAAAACTATACTGAATTATCATTAGTTTGAAAGTTTTCAGCTTTTCTATTTATGATTCTTGTCAAATTCCTGGATACTATACTAGAGTATAGACACAAGCCATTCTGTCACTATTTTAACACTAATATTTTGTAAGATATTGTTGAAAATTTTAAAATTAATGATAATTCAAGAGAATACCGTACATTCCGCTATGCTGAATTATCGTTAGTTTGAAAGTTTTCACCTTTTCTATTTATGATTCTTGTCAAATTCCTGGATACGTACACTAGAGTATAGGCACGAGCTATTCTGTTAACTCGAAAGTGAGTTTGGATTTCTTTGATAAAGGAAATCTTCTTGGTGTCATTTTGTATTTGTGGCGGATAGTGAGGGGAAAGTTCGGAATGAAATAAGTCTGATCAGAAAAGTGTTGTGTATTACTGGTGGCCTTATTCTCGTTTATTTCATTTTTGATTTATATAAGGAAGAAAGCAAGGGTTTTGGTATTTTTTTTCTTCTAATTGTGTGAATTCTTACTCTTTTGCAGTTGCTTTGGCTTAACCACTTTTACAATCATTATAACTTTGTAGGAGTTAAATTTTTCGAATCCAAATCCTAATTTGTGCCTTTTCGTTATGTTTAGAAGATACTTCGTTGATTTAATCATGAAATTTTTGCATACACACACACACGTGAAATCACAAGGAATTTTTTAAATATCAAGCAAATTTTGAGTCTCATAATACTTTGTAAGTGCTCATATCAAGAATGCGAAGTAACACATGAGTCCTGGATTCGAAACGACGAGATCATGATGTGATGAGTGAAATTGTAATCATCACGATGAAAATGATTTGAGATCCACCTGAACTTCTGTTGGGTAATTCGGCTACTGTGAGCATGATGTCAATTGCAGGATCAGTTTTTATATCGTCGTCACGCACCCATAACTCGTTGAATACGTAGACTTGCCTGTCGTTTTCATGCTCCCGAAAACTAAACATTTGAACTGTTTGTGGTGGTTCTCGTTGTTTACCTCCGTATTTTGTAATATATTAACATTAGGTGCACGATCTATTTATATAGCATTAGCTTTGTGGATTTACACAGAGAATTGTGGAAAAAATAGTTTTATTGAATTTAATTAATGGATGAAACTACTCACCTAATCTCATCATTTTCCGTAACAGCCTTTGTAATGAACCCGTGTGATCCCAAAAGCGCCAAGATCGACTTGCGACCCAAGAAATGACCTGAAATGATCAGGGCCATATTTCGATTTTTGCATAACTCACAATATGGATAGGTTTGACGACTGGTTTATCGGGAATATATTGAGTATATACTGTTATATACATATATATATATTGTTATATATTGAGTATATAATGTTATACATATTGTTATATAAATGAAGTGATGTGATTTTCATCTCATCTCTTAGGCAATACAAAAAAATTTGATAGCAGATATGATTGCAACATCAGCGCAGCAGATATAACATATTTGATTTCTATGATATCAAACTCGATCTCCTGCTTATTAGTTTTGCGCCATTTTAAAGAGCAAAAAGCGATAATAAACTGGAGGCTAGGACGTTTTTTTCTTCACTAGATTTTCTTCATCAAAATTTTAAATGAGATCCTATCACTGTGTTATTTTCTTGACTCTACCCATTACTACCGATTTTATAAAACTGGACAGATAGATATACACGCATATCTTTCGGTGAAGCCGATGGAGAGATTAAAACATTTCATTTCGAAAAGCCATTGAATTAGGGGTATAATATTTACTATAGTTAATAAAATCACTAGCAATATTTCAGATTTCTTAATAACCTCGATGAATAAAATGATCGAATATATTAGATAAACTGTCGGGATGTATAAATAATCAGTGACAACATTGAAGAAAACATTTTAAATGTTTTGATTGATTTATTTTTCTCAAAAATTTTCTGTCGAAAATGTTATTTTCAGATTATGAACGCTAAACAGGATAGGATTGTTAACCTTCAAATAATTAGGCCCTAATCTTCTCCTGATAAAGTTGAAGTCAACTATTGAAAGTTCATAAAAAGAGTAGCTTGGCTCATTTTAACCCCAAATATGATTTATTTTAAAAATTGAAATAAATCATATTTGGGGTTAGAATTGCTAACCTCAATAAATTTGTTTAATTATCCTTTCTTTTTGGTTTCGTTGAATTTTCTTTTTTTTATTAATGGATAGACTAATAAATGAATATGAATAAATATAATATGAACGGTTGAATGAACGGATAAAAATGGATGAATGAATAAATGGATGAAGTGAACTAATGAATGAACGGATATGAATGAATGAATGAATGAAATGGATGAATGAATGAATGAAGCGAATTAATGGATAACTATATTATTGAGATTTGATAAGTAATTATAAGCGTTGAATATTTCAGGAAAAAAACATATATAAATAAATTTTATAAAATTTTATCTAATAGATAGAATCATTCAAAATAATTTAACTTGAAAAAAAACATATATAAATAAATAATTTATTTCAATATTTATATCCTACCAGCTCCTAAAGCGAAGAAATATTGATTGCCCACTTTCCATTGTAATAATTTGGAAATACGATCAGCCATTCTAATATTTCGCCATTCGATGATATCTTCACGTAGTTGTTCATCAATCTATTAAAATTTTTCCAATTATAAAAATACAACTAATTTAATATATAAACTTTTATAATATTTTTTTTTATTGTAGATCTATTAGAATTTTTTAATTTTTAAATCTTTAAAATATTTTCCAAAAGAAAGAAAGATTTTAAAGTAATCCTAAATCCTAAATTTTCTAAATTATATTTTAATAAAAATAAATTAGTAAAATATATTAAATTAGTAAAATATAAAATAATAAATAAATAAAATATATTTTAATAAAATAAATTAAAGTAATCCTAAAAATTTCTAAATTATATTTTATTAAATTTCGAAAGGAAAAAAATGGATTACTTCTTGAGCTTTTCTATCAAGCTCGATAGATATACTGAATCCTTGTTTAATGAATCGTTTTGAATCACTACTAAATAATGATTCATCCAATGAGCCACATTTGTAACTATTAATTAAATTAACAATACCACTGCTATTTGATTGCATTCCAGTTATTGTTAAATTATGTTCAAATTCCAAATATGATAGCGTATAATTGATTGCAAATAACAACTAAAAATGATTTTTTTTGATTATAGAAGTTTGAATTAGTAATAATTATAACTTAATTATTATCATTTTAGCTTGAATATTATATCAAGTTTCTAATGATAATCATTAAATGATACTGAAGATAATGAATGATAAGGAATTTTGTATGGTAAATTCATTACAGTGATTGAAATATCTGCAATTTTTTTGGATTAAATATGGACAATATACCAATCAATAAATGAAATAGAAACAGAATGATAAAATGTGATAATGTGATAAGTTTCTTGTATCATTTGTATGAAATAAGATGTTACCATACATTTCTAAAATATTTGATACTAAAGGGTTAAAGGTTAAGGCAATTAAACAAACAAGCAATCTTAATAATTTTCACATCTGCCTATGCATCTAAATATCTATTCGTTTCAGTACTAATACATTCTACTACCACTTTAATTACTAGCAAATTAATTGCATACATACAAAAATTTTCAGAATTGTTTGTACAATAATTATCCAACTGTTCCAATCATTTTCATAATTACATGTTATGTTTCTTTTTTTTCTCGGGTGTATAGTAATTAACTAATTAGTGATAAATATAAAATGAAATATTGAAATTTGTTAAGAAAAGATTTTCAATAGGAATATGTAAAAAGCATTCATAGAGGGAAGAATATTGAAATTTATGAAATTTTATTTTTGCTATTTTTTTTTCACTTTTAAAACAATAATCGATATTCTATTTAATAATGTTGGAAATATTGATTAATATAGCAAAATTTTGATTAGATTAAAATAATTGATAAGAATTACTAAAATAATTTTAATTAGAATAAAATAATTGATAAGAATTACTAAAATGATTTTAATTAGAATAAAATAATTGATAAGAATTACTAAAAAGATTTCCTTTTGATATATTAACATTATCGATGTGATAAAAAAAATACCAAATAGTTCGTTTTAATCTTTTAATTAATTCGTTACCGTAGGCATATAATTGTTTTATTCATTGATTATATTAACAAATCAAAAAATAATGAACTTTTTAGAAAATTCTACCAACCTGATCCATACGTACTGAACGAAGTGGATTACATTGCTGAAAATAAATAATAGTTTCAATTTATGGCGAAAATTTATCGTTTACTAATGTTGTTAAATTTTTTTAAAAAAATTGAAATATGAGAAGGATGTGAAATGATGTAAATTTAATTGGAAGACTTTTTGCATAAGCAATTATTTTTATTAAAATTAATTTATTAATTGTCAAAAAAAGTTACATTAAATGAGGTCAAAGTGCAATAAAAACAGATATTTATAAATAAACCTAAAATATATTTTTTCTGCTGAAATGAAAAAGAATTTTTTGTATTAAAGTAAATTGAAAGGTTGAAAGGGCACAAAAAATAAAAATTGGCATAGCATAATATCCAACTTTAATTAATAATGCCTTTTATTTTTTAATTTATGCCCTTTATTTATTCATAATGCCTTTTAACTTTTATTAATGCTTTTATTAATAATGCTATAGCATAATTTATTGCTAAATAACTAATGATTAAACATTTAAATTTTAAATTTCAAAATTGATTAAATTTTTGATAACTCATTAAGCAAAATTTGACCTCTGTAGCAGTTTCAATCGAATAAAGTTTTTTGTTAAGTTCAAGAGCATATTGAGCGAGGAATAGATCAAGCATTGGTATATGTTCCCGGTAGAGATAATTTTCACTTAATTGATATAACATGAATAATAACCAAACTGGTCGTCGTCGTTCCCATCCTTCTAATGCAAAAACAAAGCAAATATTGTTACAATTAATGATTGCATCATTTTTAAATGATAAAAAAAATTTTTGTAAAACTTTCATTGATAACATATTCTTAATGTTTCTTATAATAATGCTACTTTTTGAATTAACCTCATTCAGAAAATATATCAAAGTTATTCGTCGCATATAATTATCTTAATGAGGTCAGATGGTAAACAGTGATATTTACCTTGTAATTAGAATACCTTTTATCGTTTAGAGAAATAACATCAATAAGTAAACAACAATGTAAATAAATCCATATAATAAAACACTATCCATGCTAACATCATTTTTCTCGCATTTTATTTGCTATGTAAATAAAATATGAATATGTTCGAAGTAAACATATATTACTTTTGTTATATGATATGAATTTAACTTTTCATAAATTTCATAACTTACCAATAATATTTTCAAACATTTGTCGAGGACGATTTCTGATTTTTGATTTGCTTTGTAAATTTTCTTTCTGATTATATTGTCTTTCTAATCGTTTCCGATATATTCTCATATCTCAAAATTAATTAACAAAAATTATATTCTCAAATTAAATTAAATAAATTTGCTCTCTAAAAAAAAAATTTATTCTTTCAATTCATTCCGAAAATTCATTCCGGAAATTCATTCCAAACGAATTGATTTTTTAGGATTACGGAAAAAATAATCAATTAATATGCAATAATCGACCGAATGTTTAATATTGTTTATTTCAATGATATGTTATCATAAAATTTTTAAAAGTTCTTTTTCTTTTTCTTGTTGGGATAAAGTTTTTCATATTCGGTGATTTCGATGGCAACTTTTTTAGCATCAAAGTTCTAATTCCTTGCCTATCTTCAATTAATTTTCGTCATATTATTTTATAATATCACAATATCATTAAATTGCTTTTAAATAGCATAATCTTTTTCTTTTCTCCACCTCTCTCTTTACCTCTCCCTTTCTTTCTTTCTTTGTTTTTCTCCAATTTTTCAACTTAATTTCATTGAGATTATAAAATTCTATCATGTTTGATAGTAAAACAATCATCTGTTTCTTAGTTTTTTTGTTTTCTACTACTACGATACAATCAAACAAGAATTGAATGCTTCAAATTGACGTTCCAGTTGAATCATTCAGACTATATTTAAATACTTATAGTTTCACCTGTGTTATCTTTATTTGTTCTAAATTCCACCTCTTATTATTAATTTGAGGTTATTAAGACAAAAAAAAACGAGCATAAGTTTGACAAATGCTTGAGATTTACAAAAAAGTAAAAAGTTAACTTTATATTTTTTGACCTAAAAAAGTTATCAATTTTTGGAATTTGTTCCAATTTTGATATTCCGATTAAAAACGATCGCTACTACCATAACTCTTAAAAATGGAACAGTTAGTTGCGAATATATGACATTTATGGAAGTAAAATTTTGATGACCAAAAAAAATTCTAGATGAAAGTAAAATAAAGTTAAGTATGTAAAAAGTAAAAGTATGTACAATGTTCCAGCCTTCGATACAATTTGGGCGATAAATAATCCTTCACTGTACCACCACCCGGAATATTTTTACATTTCGATAATCGTTCGATTGTATTTGCATTATAAAGATCCAATTCAAAAACGACAGAATCGGATCGTGAAAATGCTGTTTTTACTTTCTCCGATACTGTAATCAAATTAAAAATATAAGGATAATACAAATTAGGAATGGATTGATTCAATAAATGTGAACAATTTTTGTTTGATATGAAACAAAATTATTTTCAAACTATTAAAAATTTAATTCAATTTATTAATTAAATAATAATTAAATGATACTTTTTAATAATTTAATAATTAAATGATACTATCGGTAAATATTTAAGTATAATAAATTTTTAAATAAATAAATAAATAATATAATAAATAAATAAATTCTGTTTGAATTTTTGAAATGAACAAATATTTTGCTAATATTTACAAATGATAGTTTTTAAATTTTATCTTTCATAAAATTTATGAATAATTAATTTCATAAATAATTAAAATGATATTCTTTTTTTCTTGGAGAAATTTTGCTTGAAAAATTTTTATACTTTAATAGCCATCTTTTTAAGAATTTCTTTTTCATTTTTTCTTGTTCATAAAAAATATAACAGAAAATTTTATTGGTTCAGTAAACACTGATGCAATTTAATTTATGAAAAAATTTTAAAGATATTTTAGGTAGAGTGACAAAAATGAGAGAAATTATTATAGATCGATCAAAAGAAGAAGGAAAAAGGAAGTGAAAATTATTGAAGCAATTAGGGAAATGAAAAGATATGAGAGGGAAGGGGTTATCAGGTGAAAGCGGGGGGAAAAGAAGAGGAAAATGAAATACGTATTTTACTTCACTAAGCAATTACCACCTGAAAAGATAATAGATTTTGCTACAACTGCTATTACTTCAACTTCTACTTCAACGATCACAACTATGATTGCTTTTTACTCAAGGATCTATTATTTTCGGTAGAACGAGAACCTATAGCTAAATGCTTTTCAATTTTAACAGGAACTACCTTATACTGACTGCATCATTTAAAGGTCTTTCTATCAATCTTTCCCACTCCTTTGTTATGACTTTTGCATGTTATGCGTATTATTGAATTTTATTGCATTATTGACTGCATTATTGCATTTTGCATGCTACACTATCTCATCAAATTATCAATATAAAACATATCTATTAATTGAAAGAATGAAACTGAGTAATAATTTGACAATCTTTCGGAGGTGTCATTTATGATTGCATCTTTTGACTATAATGTAACAATATCTTAGATGCATGCACTGCATTAATTTTTTGCAGAAATGTTATAATATGCAAAACCTTGCAAACAAAATTTGTTGGATTAAATAATTGAAGAAATGACTGTAATATTTTTTCGGAATATTTATCTATATCTGAAGATAATTGGTATGAAGATAATTACATGAGCCTGACAAGCCTAATTATTAAATTAACCAAATTTTTAAGCTTAAATTTATCCAACATAATTGCACGTAAATAAACAAATGGATATTTTAAAAGAAAATTTTCAACTTATGCTTATTAGAATGACTGACTAATTACTTAGTGTCATCAACATCTTATAAATTAACCGATAATGAAATAAGAAAAGTTTAAATTTTATAAAATCTAAAATAATGGACAAAAAAATTTTGCCTAAACTTTATTAACTTACCTTGTTCCCAAACTTCGGTAAATGGTACATGAATTGTTCCAAACATATAACCTTCAACAATATTATTACGTTCAATTGACCATAAGAAGATCGATTTTTCATGTACCTGAAACGAATAAAATAACAAATTATCTTGTCTGTTGCAAAAAAAGATTTTAAAAAAAATAATTGGAAAAATTATTGGCCAAAAAAGAAATGAGTTATAGGAAATTGTTCAATTCAATGAGCAATTTTAAATGTACTTCAAAATTTGTCAATAACTTTTCCTTATTCAATATATTTCCTCATTTACTTTCTTCCCTTTTTTCTGGCTTTATTTAAAACTAAATTGATATAAGTAAATTGCAACAACTATTTTCAACAATGTTGTAATTTAAATTTTAATTAAAAATTGCAATTGTATTAATTATATAAGAAAAAATAATCCATCGACAAAAGTTGAAAAGTATGTTATATCGGTGATATACTGATAAATTTAGAAAATCACAAGTTTACAACATTTTTGAAATTTAACAACTATAGAAATGCTCTGATTAAGTATTATGATTGATAGAATAAAAATAAAATTTAGATTCAAAATAAAATAAAATTAATTAACCTGATCGGTATTCGTGCACGAAATTTGCAATTGATATGTGTAACTCAATTGGGACATAAGCAGCAATTGATACTGCAGAATTTTCATAACAGAATTGATAATGATAGCATTAATGATAATTTCACATTTTTGAACATCATAACTTCGAATTTTCAATACTTCTTTCTTTCTTCTCCTCTGCTTCTTCTTAAGAATAATTAGATTTATAATAGCTCATCTTCATCATTACACTTTTCCGGATAATCTAACAATATCAAACTAGTAGATGAAAAAGAATTTTTTCCCCCCCCTTGCTATTTTTTCATACAATTTTAATTATTCTCCTGAAATTTGATTTTTAGATTTTACTGAAATTCAAATGTATCCGATGAAGAAAGATAAAATTGAATAAATAGTAGAAAAAGAAATGAATTTCTCTCCGTTTTTTCTTTCTTCACGCTTCGCTAATCCGATATTTATTTATCCTATAATTTTTGCAATTTGAAACAATTGCCCACTCAAATATAAAAAAAAATAACGAAATTTTGGAGAGGAGAAAGGAAAGGAAAGGAATGGAAAATTTTTTGATTCAAAGTGGCAATAAGTTAAATTTGAAGTAAATTAAATTTGCAATTAACTTAAAGTTGCTTAATTAGAGGGCAGAAAAGGTGATGAGAAAAGGAAGTGAAGAAAAAAACATCAAATTTTGTCACATTTTTTTAATGAGAAGAAATTAGTCATTCAAACAAATGTATAAATCGTAAAAATAACAAATAAATAATTTGATAAATTCAAACAGATATCTGCCAGATTTTACTTTACTTTGTATTTACTTAATTCATTGATTAATAATTAGCATGAAGTTGTAGAAGAAATAAATATCCAATATTATATTATTCTTATCAAACGAAAAGCGAACGAATAAAATTTGAGAGTTATGTTGTCAAATAGAAATACATTATCATTTAAATGAAATTGATTGTAAATTATTTTATTTTCAATTTAATTTTCAACGATTAAAGAAGAATATTATCAAGTTCATTCAATAGTTTACGAACTTTTTCATTTACTTCGAATTATACTCTTAGAAAGCGAAGCTATTTTCTATTAAGCAAACTATCTCGAGACTAATGTTAATAAATGCATTTGAAAAATTTTGCTATTAGATAATAATTGATTGAGCTTAGCTATAATAATAATAATAATAATAATTCAAGAATTTATTTTGTGATAGTTGTTAAGTTCAGCAAGAATTTATTTTGTGATAGTTGTTAAGTTCAGTAATGATAATTTAAATTAAACTGATAATAATTTGCATTTCATAAATTTTAAATAAAAATTTTTATTGAATGAATTAATTAACTAATCGAATTTTCTCTTATTCAACAAATACTTTTGTTATCAATCCTGAAATAGCAAATGAAAAATTTTTTTCAGAACAGAAAGAATATAAGAGAGAGAGAGAGAGAGGGATTTTCTGAAAATACATAAAAAACTAATTGGAAAAAAATTGAACTTAAATTTGAATAAATAAAAATATCAGAGATATATCATCTTCTGGAATAGTTCATAAGGTGAAAATGTGTCTGGTGATGTTGAAAATAACTTGGATTACGGTGATAATGATGGAAGGCGTGGTCGCCAGAATGGTTTTCTTTGCTTGAAGAAGGAAATGTTTATACAGTTTATAATCCTGATTCATCCTGATTCATTCCTTAAATCAGTAAAACTGATTGAATGGAAAAAAATTTTTCGAGATTTTTCATTGTTATTTCTAACCAAAAAATGAAAATTTAATTCTTATGATTTTTTCGGAGTTTTTCTTTACGGAATCGATTATTCTTATTTGTTATATAAAACAAATGAATATTTGTGTGCAATCCGGTTAACCTGAATAAAGTTCAATTTTCGTTAACATCAAAATGAATGTAAAGATATTAATAGAAATGAAAGAAGAATTTTAAATTTTAAAATAAAATATAATAGCAAATATTACGATTAACATTTTATCTATATCATTTACAACGATTTCATCAAATATCGTAGTAATACAATTATAACAATTTCTGCAATGTAGCAGGCATCGAATGAAATGAATTTCGCAGAAGTTAACACTATCATATACAATTTAACTGATGAACTAATATTTTTAATGTATTCCTTTGAAAACGTATTCGTTTGATAAACTTAGAATAATTTGTATATAAACAATTATTTATTTATTGATTATTATGGTTGATGATGATATGAAAAAAAAATGGATCATGTTATTTGATTTATTATAAAATTTGAATTAAGTCTAAAAAATTTTTAGAAGCCTATTTTTTAATTTCATATTGTTATTTTAAAGTTTCAATACTTAAATTCTTCCATTATATAACTTTAAGTGATGATTTATGATTTTGTGGCTATTTATTATATTATTTAACTTTGTAGAGAATATTTTGAACTAAAGATATAAGATACAAAAAATATAAATTTCTAGCTATTCAGTATAAGATTATTCAAATTCCAATACTAGGCTTTCAATGCTACCAAAACATTTAAAAATTATTGCAGCTGTATACCTTTTGTGATCAACCATCGAATTTGTAAAAAAAGATTCACAAAGATAAATTCTTTCATTTATTTTAATTAAATTATGGTATAACTGAAATCTTAATATTAATATATTTACTTAAAATAGCTTCTCTTATTATATCTATTCTTACAGCTATGGAAACAACTAATTCAGAAATTATATTTCAGCTATTTAAGTTATCAGTCGTTGAATTGTTTCAATTTGATCAGACTAAACGATAATCATGCTACGATCATTTCTGTTTTTCATGTTTCATTCGAAAACTATTTTCCTAAACTTTTTTAGTTTGGTTTGCTCTTACAATAATAAAACAATCATCGTCGCACAATGTTGACAAAAGAAGGGAAAATCACAAAGTGAAATGAATATTGTTATTTAATAAAACTCAACGAATAAATTCGCAAGTATTAAGCGACAAATTTAAGGAATAAAAAAATCTGAAATACAAATATATTACTGTGAAAAAGTATTTTATTTTCCATTCAACACTTCGTGCATTTTTAATTCGTTAAGTAAACATAAATGAAATATTTCGATAAGAAGGAAATAATTTTTTAAAAGAATAATTATTTATTGAAAAATAATTTTATCAAAACTTTGCTAATATTTATTATAATCATATGAATGATATTTGAATTTCTGAATAAAAAAAAGATGATTAATTAAATTATTGTTGAATTTCTACGATTCTCATGAAATTTCTTTTTTTGCAGAAGAATATTTAAGCTATTAGGGCTAAATTGAAATAATATATAATATGTGTTTTAAAATTGAAACAATAAATAAGTTGAAATAATAAATAATATGTGTTTTAATTTATTATTCAATTATCTCTTCAATTTTCTAATTTCAATTATCTTCTAATTTCAATAATCAGAAAATTGAAGAGATCTTTAATTTTTCTGATTTTTAGAAGTGCAATTCATTTACATATGCCAAGAAGATAAATATAATAAATGACAAATTACGAATATCATTTAAAATATCGGATAAGCTTTAAGCAAAAGTTTTGTTTAAAAAAATGTTAATTGTATATTATATGCAAATTGGGACAGTTATGTTAATTTTTTTATTCAGCAACACATTTATATATACCTTATAAAATGAATTTAATAATAATTACTATTCAAATATTTTAATCAGTAATGATTCGAAATGATTAGCTTCCATATCAGTAGGAAAATTACTTGTATGAGCGATATTAAGTTTATGCAAGTGCTATTTTTTTAGTATAAATTAATTTTGATTATTTCATTCATAAAAATTTTAATTATTAAGGAATTCTATTATTGTAAAAATAATATATACTAAAATACACCTTATCTTGTACCTACTAAACAAGCATTTATTTAATAACATTTCAAAATTCATTTTATAACTTATAGCTATAAAAAATTTGATTATTTTATCATTAAAGATATCATTTTAAAAGAATTAATTTATTATCATAACATCTTTGTTATTTCGTTTCCTTTTATTTTTCTTTCCTTCTTTTCTACTAATTAAAAAAAAGAATTTCTATTAATTAATTAATTTATTAAAACGTTTAATTTTTAAATTCTTATAATTTATGCTAGATTTTAAATGAACTTATCTATATGATACATAATAATTTTACTAAATAATCAATTTTGCAAATTTTTAAATGATCAAATAAAACAATAAAACTTGTTATATTGACTTATTACGATCAATACTTTCTGATATAATCGAATTTAATAAATATTTATTAAATAATACTTAGGTACTTATTTGAAAATAAGTACTTACTTGTTAATTTAATTAATGACGAATGGAAAAAAAAAGAATTATAAATAATTTAAATAAAATTTAAAATTAAATTTCTAGCAATCTAATGCAAGGTTGAAAATATGCTGCAAGCAATTCCTATTAACCATAATTGTTATCAATCCATCAGCAAATTTTTTTTTACTTATTTTTCAGGAAATGTTTATTTTTTTGGGCAACAACTGGATATAGCAAATTTAAAAATTCAACAGAATAGTAAATGAATATTACTATGGTTGATAATATTTACTTCATTACATCTGATCATATCAGTAAGAAGTTTTATGCAACACAAATTTATCATCGTAATAAACTTAATGAAATATACGTCATGTTTCCCTCCTTATCCTTTTTACAACAATGTTATTCAGCAAAAAAAAATAATCTTCAATTAAATTAAATATTACAAATTACTGAATCATTGTTGAAACTCAAATGATAATAAGATGATCGAAGTTGATTACTTTAAAAAACATTTTAAAAATTGCTGCACATTCAAAATCTTTGAAGTTTTTCATATGGCAATAGTATGAGATAATATATTTATATCTATATAACTATAACTAAATTTAATATAGAACTTTTGATAATTGTGATTCAAATCATGAGTGTTTCAGATGACTCACTGATTTCCTTAATTTGAGATGCTGCAAACGTTTTACAAATTTTTTTGTAAAAAACAGCTTTAAAAATCAGTTTTAATTTTTTGCTAGAACCAACTTTAAAAATCAGCTTTAGTTTTTGGTAGAACCAACTTTTAAAATCAATTTCAATTTTTGCTAGAACCAATTTTAAAAATCAACTTTGAAAAATTCTTTTCTTCTATTTTTCTATTTTATTCATTTTTTTTAAAAAAGAGCAAAAAAAAATATTGCATTATCATATCTTCAATCGATTGCATTATCATATCTTCAATCGATTGCATTATCATATCTTCAATTGATTGCATTATCATATCTTCAATTGATTGCATTATCATATCTTCAATTGATGGATAAAAATTCTACAAAATTGGATCGAATAATTTTTTGATTCGTACTTTGTAAGAGAAAGATTATTTTCCATTTTTTTTTCTGTAGAAAAATTTTGTCTGTTATGTGGCTTTTTAAAAATCTCTCTAATGCATTCAAATTTCATATGATAAAAATCATCCTGAAATTAATGGCATAGCATTTTGATATTACAAATATTCAATATGTTGAAATATTCAGGGCAAATATATTATTATCCGTTTTTCATCATCAAAAAAATAAGAACTGTTTTTTGGAAAATATCATTTTTCATTTTTAAAATGTAAATTAATTAAATTGAAATATTATTCTTATCACATTATCACTTATGTTCTATTATTTATTTGTAATTATGTTTATTAGAAAATGAAATTGATAATGTATAATTTCTAAATTAAACAATTGTAGAGAAAAGTTTTCATTTTTGAAATGTAAATTAATTAAATTGGAATATTATACTTATCATATTATCACTTATATTCTATTATTTATTTGTAATTATGTTTAGTAGAAAATGAAATTGATAATGCATAATTTCTAAGTTAAATAATTATAGAGAAAAGTTTTCGTTGAAAATGTCATTTTTCTCTATCAAAATTTCAATAAAAATGTTTAAAGTTTTTTAATATTTTATCAATTCTTATAAAAAACGAAGGAAATGTTACATTTCAATTATCTCTTACAAATTGTTATGAATTTTCTTATTCGCTTTCACAATAAACTGTCATGAATAATAGGCATTATGAAGTTGGTTTGTTTGTCACTAGTTTGTTTGTTTGTTTACCAATCAATTTGTTGACATAAGGCGAATTTCGAGTGAATTCAATATTTCCTCCTTACGATCATCGTAAAGCTCTAAAATTTTGTCAATAGTACCATTTCTAAAATTTAATTATTTTAAGAAAGACTTTTTAGATTGAATAGTTTTGATCATTATGTTTAGCTCTTTCAATAACTTATTTAATTTTGTTTCGTTTTTTTTAATTGCTATACATTTACGATATTTACAGCTGAAAGGTTACATTTTTAGCTGTTCAGTTTTACCTTCTTTTTATTTAGACTCTTTTACTTTCGCTTTTTTTCTTCAAGTTTTCAATTATTTGAGGATGGTGGTGTAACAGATCAGGTTGTATATTTCATAAACATGTTAAAATATATTTTGCATTGTTGATCCTTTTTCTTTAGAAACTAATCTTCATGTTGGAAATAATTCAGAATGCAATATACATCACTGTAACAATTTTATCAATGATAATCTGAATATCGCATCGCATTTATCATTCGATCTTTGTTTAATATTTTTGAAACAAAATTTTGGTGTTTAATTCATCTTCTTTTCGTTAATTCTATTCTTCTGATCATTTTTCAATTGTTTTTCTTTATTAAAAAACAAAACAATCTTCTCCACTTATTGATATATGATAATGAACAACAGAATGAAAGTAGAACATCGATTTCTTGAACTTCGTCACTTTAAACTTCTGCTAATATTATCAGAAAGTATTCGATATAATCTTTGATGAGCATCTTATCAAATATTTATCATCAAATAATACTTCGATTAAAACTTATCAAGATCACAATAGAAAAGTTTTCCCAAATTACGGATAACTTTATATTCATCATTGTATTTCGTTCATTTAATATTACTCAGGTAAAAAATATTTAATTAAATATTTTTGCAAATGTTGAAATGAATTGATCATTTTTTGTTAGCTTCTAATATAATTATATTGATTGCTACCAAAATTGTTATTTCAGGAGAATGAAAAAAGAAGACGAAAATAATAACAATAATAATGATAATGCACTTAATGATAATGATTATAATGATAATGTTGAGATGATGATAAATTTGCTTCACCTTGCATTCTTCTCATCGTATTCTTGATAATTTAGTCTTTTTTAAAAATGAAAAAGCACAAATGACTAATTGATATTACTGCTTTTACTACTATCGGATGTTCTCATAAATAAAATTCTGTTTTAAAAAAAAATTCTTTCCAGTGCAAAATCTGATAATTAGTTATAGAAGCAATTTATTAAAATTAATTATAGATTAATATCACTATTTTATTTCACAATCCAATACGATCGCTATATACGATTGCAATGGGCAGAGACATATTTTGCTTGGCTGATAAAATTTTTAACTGTGATTTATTTTTAAAATAAAATTTATATTAACAAACGTTCTGGAAAATTATGCTAAGGACTTATTTTCTTGTTAGTGCTATTTTCAAACAAAATTTGCTTATTAATTTAAATTTAATTTTGTTCTTTTCTTTTTTCACTTTTATGTTTAGTGCATATATAAGCACATACGTAAACATACGTCAACTTACGTACGTGAACATAAAAACCATTGAGCAAACGAAATTAATTGATATAATAGTTTAGATATGTTACATAAATGATACATTACTGCGAAAATTTACTGGCCCTAAAATTTTCATATTAAAATCGATAATTCTTACATTTATCAACATGTGATTAAATTTTATTCAATTTTCCATGTTTTGCTCCTTTTTAAAATTTGCTTAGAATGTCCATCTTCCTCTCTATATTTGGCTACGACTACTACTATACTACTACTACTACTACTACTACTACCAGCCATGAAGTTTTTATTATATATTTTAACTAACCAGTAAGACTGTAATTAGTAATTATTATATTGACAATATATTCATGATTGATGAGAAGTAAGCATTGTAGGAATCGAAATTATTTTGATATAAAGAATGATAATGAATTAATAGGAATAGTTTCAAGAAAGTTTATTATTAATATTTATTTTTGTTGTCACCTTTATTTTTTCCTTCTTTTGAAACTTTTAATATTTTCATATTTTTCTTGTAATTATACTTTTAATATGTTTTACTAGCTGGTTTGAAGTAATTAAGTAAATAAACATTTTGCTTTGGATTATTCTAAGGCTGGTTTGAAGTAATTTAGTAAATAAGTATTTTACTTCCGATTGTTCTATGTTAAAACACATCTTTTAATTTGTCTTGAAGATAAAATTATTATCAAAATTTAATAATTTCAACCAATAAATATACTCCTTTATTTATTCAAATGATAACTGTCATTAATTTGTAATTAATTCTACATACTACAAATAATAGCTATAAAATTATGATATCAAATGTGAATTTTCATTAGTAATGTTTAAAATTTGTTGGTATTAGGCATTTCTTTTGAAGTTCTTGCAAGCTTACAACATTTCATTTTCCCACCATTCCTTTCTCCTCTAATTTAATTCTTTATTTCATATATTAATTTTTTTGCCTCTAATTAAGTTCGTAACATCTACATCTCTTTTATCATCTGTTATCATCTTTTATCATTCTTTTCCTTTTTTGTTTTCAATTTTTTCTTTGCTTATTCTATCTATTATATGAAGAATGTATCCTTATTTACTAGCATCAAATTTATTTCATCCACCATTACTAAATTTTGAACTTAAAAATATAAATTTACTCAATTCATTAACTTAATTCATTTACTTAAATATTCTATGAATGAATGTTTTAAATAAATCAATGAAAGAAACAAAAAACAAGAAATAAAATTCTTAATTTGATTACTTCATAAATCTTTAAGATAATTGATATACGTTGATTTAAATGTTTCAGTAATTAATTTTGTTAAAATTTTTCTCATTTATTTAACAGATAAAAAAATGAATGGATGAATTATACATGCAATGGTTACTGATAATCAAGAAGCTATGATACCAAAATCGGTGCAATTCAATGAATCCTGCGAAAATTACCGTTGTTTTTGTAATTGTTTCCATATAAAAACTGGAACTCTTATCGCTGCTGGTAATTTTCGCTTTTTTTTGCTTCAAATTATAAGATATAGAATTAATTATCAAAAGTAGAGGTTATCTATCATTGATAATAATTAAGGATAACAATTGAATTTGATGAAATAATATCAAATATTAGATTGAAATAAAATTCTAAAATAATTTAAATATGAATAATTAATGGTTAAAATAAGAAAAATTGATGAGATAGCAAATATAATAAACTTAAGAAAATTTTTATTTCATAATAATTAGCAAATCTATCAACTTAGTAAATTTTAGGAAGGTCATTACTGTAGATCTTATTTCATCATTGTTGTATATTTTATTATATCTTATTTTATCAAATTTGCAAATCGTTTAATTGTTTTCAATTCCAAAATTATTTAGCAAATTAGGTCAAATCGATATATTATCAAAAATATGGCATAATTATATGTCTAATTTTAAAAGATTAAAAAAACAGTTAAGAATTTATTGAAATACATAATTACGGAAGAAATGAATCGATGTATAAATAAAAGAAATCCGTGTAGCACTTCAAAAGTAAAGTTGTTGTTATAATAAATTAAATGATAAAAAATATTTATATAATTTGAATCATTTTTCTCATTTCTCATACATCACACATTCTAACTATGCAACAATTTAAACACCTCAAACTTATTGGAAGTATTTTAGGTACCGAACTTTTAATGCTACTAATATTTCTCATTAATTCGCTATTGATAGTTGTGGAGGAAGATAACAAATATGAAAAAATCGCAGGTAAATCATTAATTTCAAATTTTTATTTTAAATTTATTCATATTAATTGTAATGAATATGTTAATTATAGGTACATGTGATAGCTATGTGACTCAATCGTTTTTCGTATCCATGATAGGCATTGGTCTTAGTTTTTTAGCAGTTCTGTTACTTTTCATTGGAGTAATTCGTAACAATGCTGCATTTCTGATACCTCATCTTATCATACAGGTAGATCTACTTTTGTTTTTTTTCTTAAATAAATTAATAAAAAACAATCATTCAAACTGTTTCTTTTTCAATTCTTAATTGAGAAATTTGGAAAGTTATATTCGATAATGAAATTCAGAAATTGGAATTAACATTAGAAATTATAAATTTAAATTAATGATGTGAAATTTGTTACAATTCATATCATTCTCTCATAATTGAATGTTTTATTTTTAGGTGATTGTAATATTAATACTTGCATTTGCCTTAACATGTGGTATTATTGCATTTTCCACTAATACAACGATATTTTATCGATTGATGAATGGGGCATCATTTAAAGAACATCCCAGTAGTACTACCGTTGCATTGGATACTCAGACTACCGCACGATTTATCACTCTTTTCATTCTTTACCTTATTTGTTTTATATTACAGGTGAATAAATGCACAAATCATTTTTTATTAATTTATTTCATCTCTTCTAAGAGATAATTTATCATCTGAAATCGAAATTCTCCATTTTCGAAAAACGAAATGAATTATGTGAATTTCACTGTTAACAAAGTAGAATTGCTAGTGAAGAGTCTTAATTATTCGATGATTAACAAGAATTTATTCCCCAAACTTATTAAGTAGTTATTGAAGTATGAAAAATTTTCAGTGCTGGTATGTAATGATCATTCACAATTGCTACCGTTACTTGAAGGAACGATGCCGATACATGCATTATTGTCTTGCATTCAGCACACCGATGGAAACATTGATCTTCCGATGATAATTACCATACTGTTAACTAATGTATAGAATAGTAATAGTGTATAACAAGAAACACGAATGGAATAGGCAAGTTGTTGGAAATAGACATTAAGAGATAACATTTCAGAAGCATAATTTGCATAATTTCATGGTTCTAAAAATGCGCACAAACCAAAAAGGAAACCCGGAACTGATGATTTGGAAGGATTAACTAGTTCACCACATCACTACCACATTTAATAAACTTACATTCATAGCTTCCCTCTTTTTGAGTTATTTTCTGGATTCGGTTACCTCACAATTACTGAGAAGCACATCATGATTACTACCGTTCATAGAACTTCAACAAATTGACCATTTCTTCTAAAATCTATTTTCTCCTATCATATAATTGTCGATAACGCATTCTAGTTTTCTTGTTCTTTTCCCCTGAATGCGCCGTAGACTGCCGAAGGAAGTATTATCCGATTGCATCACGATGTTTTGCACACGTGTGTGACATCACCTTACATTTTCTGTTGTTTTTAACGAAATATTTTCAGAACATTCTTAATTTATATGTGAGTCTTACTGGATGTAAGCGATTCGCTAAATTCAAGATCAATAAACCACTACGCCATCTTTCGTTGTTTTGATAACTTTTTAAACCAAATTATACTATGTAAAGGAATAATGGGACGAACTTGAAAGGTTTCAAATTATTGCTTTTAATGTTAAAATTGCTAATTTTCAAGAGATAAAAGTAATAATAATAAACAACAGATGTTTGCAGTCACCAACGACCTGATCGATTATTCATCTTACCAATGAATTTATACACGAAATGACATATATATATATATATATATACATCCAAGGATCTGATATCTTCGAAAGCCAATAACTTGTATTTAAACACCTCTCTAAGACAGAAAACTAAATTCCGAAATTAACGCATTATCAGTACTAATAGCTTTTTCCCAAGAACTGACGTGCTGGGGTGGCTTAATTACAACAAATTATTTCGAAAATAAGTGTATCAAATTAAAACTACAAAGACAAATGGAATTTGTTGGTATAAAAAGGTGCTCATGAGTAATGAAACACATCAATCGTAATGGTATTTGCGAAAAAAAAAACTGATTTGATTTTAAAAATGAATAAAATGAACCGAAGGCAACATCAGCATAGCCTCGTCTCAAAATCATCAAAGAAATTGAAATAAACAAAAGTTCTGAAAGCAATTTGAAACTCATTTCATCGAATTGTTACAGGACTAAGAAACTATTCAATTAAAATTAGTTGAATTCCAGAGCTTACTGAATTTGGGACTAACGAAAACTGAGATCCTTTGTTCATGTGCTAATGATCCTTTATATGTTCTAAATATTACAACGTTTGATATGATACGCAATTATTGAAATAATCGTTAAAACGATTAGCATGATGAAAATTTATATAATTTATATAAATTTATATAATATGCATAGAAAAAGGTTTTTCGAAAAAATTATGATATCATTAGTCTGAGAATTCACCGAAACAAATGGTAATATAGAACTACCAGTTCACAGAAAATCTTAGAGTATCTCAATTAAATCATTTTGGAAGTTCGTCATTACCAATTATTATTTAATTTCAATCACCAATTGTTACACCTCGGAACATTTGCCCCATCGACTCGTTGTGATAAATTCGCCTGACTGCTTCGCATAACATCGATGATATGTCAACTGTTTTAATTTTATGACAACGCAGCTTCTGCACTTCATGGGGTACTGTGTTTGTCACAATCACCTGAATTGTATTAAACGGAAAACTGAATGATAAAACATGGCATATAAATGAATAAACAATAAGAAGAGAACTACATTTCCATATTTTGCACACTAGCTTTGCTCAGAACAATCACTGGGTTACCTTCAAATTATTTTATAATATGCCAAATACTACATGTACATTATCAAGCAAAGTGGTTCAACTGCAAGTACAGTTTACCTCAGTAATGGGTGAAGATTCCAGAAGATCAGGAGCATCTGCTGATAATAATCCATGCGTCGCTATGACATAAATTTTATAGGCACCACGATTTTTCAGCACCTGAGCAACAACGACGAAAGATTGTGCATCATCGATTATATCATCCTGCAAATGAACATGAACATTTGACCGAAAAGCATCCACATTTCGTTTTTCATCAGAACTGAAATCCTTTTACGATTATGATTTACAGTGAAAAAAGAAACATACAAATCGATGAATACTTACCACCATAATCGCTATCCGTCCACCTACATCACCAACAACTGTTAACGGAGGTTTTTCCTTCGCAACTTGAGCTAAAAATATGTCACGATAAGTTAGAAATATGAATTATCCCAATCACGGCTTAAAACAAACTTAATGGTAAGTTCGTTAGAAAACTTTTGAAAGAATTTATCTTCACAGAGTTAACTTGACACGTTTTCTACGATCGGCTAACAAGCTTTGGTATTAAATGGCGGAAGCATTTAATTATTAGTTAAAAAACTTGTCTAATATGATTTTCTGTTAAAAGAAGTATTACCAGGAAACAGCTCAAAGGTGGTAAGATTTTCGTTAGACTTATCCAGTGGAGGACTTTGACGACCATCCTCTAAATCACTTTCTTCAACAACTTTCTGTTCACCGTGTATAACTGCTACACCTGAAATTTTGTACGAAAATAGAAAGGATAGACCAAAGTTTCTCGGGTCAAATCCAATCATCATCATCATTGGCAAATTCCTTAATCCATTTGTCTGCCAAGTTTTTAAAAATGACAAATAAATGCTAGTGAAAACTTTTAAAACCTCATGTAATGTGTTTCGGTTCTCCAAAACGCACAATCTCGATGATGTATTTTTTGAAATGCTGCTTCATACAATAAAGCAAAGACACAAAGAACACACATTCGAGATAATCAAAGGTTTCGGGAATGATGCGTTAATAATAATTAAATATGATTTTTATAGAAGATAAAATCAATAGTGGAATGTTAAAAATAATCTTTTGGAAACGAAAAATTTTTTTAGAAGGCAAAAAAACTGTGAAAATGAAGATCGCACAAGTTTTCACATACACATATGCTCATCGTGCAAGATCAAAAAATATTGCTGCAAGTGGTTAAAGCAAACATTGTTCGATAGCACAATGTAGTTTGGCGCAACAAGTGAAAGCAACACAACCTCAACCACTTGAATTTTCTATACTTTTTCGATTACACTAAGTCTATCTGCAAGCGTTCTAAATAGTGATACGTAGCAGGTAAAAAATAATCAGTGCGTGTCCAGCCACTGATACGAACGATATTAATATGTTCATGAACAGCTCAAATCTCCAAAGTTTGATCTTCAAATTTCAATTGTCTGGTTTTGTAAGGACAATACTTGTCAGTGATTAAATTATTAATTAATTGTCTTTCATCGGCACCAGTTATAAGACTATAATATAATATGTAGGTCTAACAATCTCCATAAATGGTGACATCTATGACAAATTAATGCTCTAGTCCTTCTTTGAAGTAATCAGCAAAATTAATCAGCAAAACGTCTCAGATCCCACTAAATCAGTTGCATCATTCACATTTCATCTACGTTTGTTTCATCTCACTATAAAATAATCACACAAACTTGTTGCTTCCGTAGACGAAAGCACAGAAAATGTCTTGTAGTTAGCAATCAAGAATATTGAAATTTGCATTAACTGTCTGACTCAAGCTTTTCTATTATTAAAGCTGGGGAAGAAGAGATATTAAAGCAGAGAAGAGAGCAAAGCCCACAATGAGGCACTTTAGGTTCATGTACATCTTTCGTCAAGCAGTGATTCGCTTATGTTTGAACTTTCTACACTTTTCTAAGTCGTCAAAAGTAATGAGAAATTTCAGCTTTTAAAATCAAAACTAATTCTGGAATGATCTGTTTAGTAAAATGATAAAAACAATGAACTGTTAAAAACAGGAAAACATAACAAAATGTATGCTGTAATCAATTCCGTAAAAAATTCAGGGTTTCCAAAAATTTTTTTCCGTAGCAATAGGAAAACCATATATATTGATTTCAAACTATTTAGCACCTGAAGTAGCTAAAAAGCTTTGATGGATTAAATGTGTACACTAAAAAAAAATTAAATGTGTAAATATGATTGCTGATGATTGCATTTAGAGCTTGCAGTCTGAAGATTCAAATACTCTCAATCTTACCAACGAAGTGTTTCATTTCACTGAAGGTCTATCCATCATTTACTTTAAATTCCTGATCTGCTGAAGCAAAAATATTGACGAAATAATATCATTAATAATACATTTACCTAGCCTTAGACGATCCGCGTAGGATGTTGCTTTATTCATAACACCAGGATTCTTTGCGACTATCACAGCATTTTTATAGTCCGGTATCTAAATTTTCGGTTTTGATAAACACAATAATGAAATAGCGCATAAATTCAGCAATTTGAAATTGTGTTAAAGGTAAAATATAATCACTTCATAATAGAAGAAAGAGTTATAAAAAAATACCAAACCGAACATTTTCTTTTATGTACTGTAATAAAAAAGGTGAAGCGCGTAGGTTATCAACAGGTACTGAGAAGAACCCCTGGATTTCCTTCCTGTACAAATCGAGAGAAACAATTCGTGTCGCCCCTGCAATCTCTTTTTCTCATCATTGCGCAAGTATTTTTAGCATTTGCATTTCATATATCAACCAAGCTTAGCAGTATCCATAATCGAATCACTTGATCAGATAAAGAAGAAACGAAAGGAATGTAGAATAATTACCGGAATTGCACATCATATCAGCGATAAGTTTCATTGGTATGGATGATCGGCGTAACATTCGACACTGCTTGCTATAAGGCAGATATGGCATCACGACTGTTATCGTTTTTGCCATCGAAGTTTTACATGCATATATTAATATCATCAATTCCATTATGTTATTATTTACGTCCCTGAAATTTCAACAATCAGTTCGAAAAAAATAGTGATTTTCGACAGCTTAACTAACAAATAAATTAAGCGGAATAGCTCAAAGCTTGAAAGACCTAGAAAGTTCTGTTTCGCAGTCATTATCGAGTCATGTGTTGCATCGGCAGTTATCCTATGATTTCAACCAAATATGTATCTCCAATGTGCCCTAGGCAAAAGAAATATTCTAGTATAATTCCATGATAATAAAAGATTTACTTTGAACCGGACTGAAGAATGAACACATGTTTTCCGCGAACGCTCTGCTTAATTTCAACTGAAGTTTCACGATTTGTTTTATTGTAAACAATCGTCTCTCCAAGCTTAATTCCCAGGCGTCTGCAAAATCATTTCGTATTAGCGATTAAATCAATTCAATCTTTAAAACACAGGAGAAAAATTCAGCGCAGAATAGACTTACTCTGAAACTAGTTTTGCTAATTCCATATGAGAATTCCCGGCTAGCAGTACCATGCCACTACTTTGGTCAGTAAAATATCGGACCGACATTTCTCATAAACCTGAAAGGAACAAATGATTTAGAATGTCTCATGTTAAGTCATATTAAGAATGAGAAAGATGAAAGTCGGGCATTGTCTGATTCGATCAAAGACCATTATCGATCTAAAATCCACCAGTAATACTTCAAAACCCTACCCGAAACTGTAGAGTATAGGAAATCGTATGTTGCATTGATATAGATTTACATTTCCCCTTCTCCCTATCCCTTCCCTTTTTTTCCTTCCTTACTCTCATTGATTCCCATCCATTCGAAGATACCGCATATTATTCTGAAATTGGCCGTTAGCTAAAAAATCGTACGAATAAATACGAAATAGAAGGGAAGCAGTATGATGAAGGAAGATTCTATGGTCTCGTATTTTGGCCAAGAATTTGTTATAAAAACTTCAATTAAAATAATTTATTTCAACGAAATCTTCCAAGCCTTCTTATACGCACATAGACAAAAAACGAATTATTAAGAATTAATTTTTTTTAATATTTTTAATTTTTTTTAATTGCTGTTTATCGGTAATTCTTTGTTTAAATAATAATTTTACTCTTCTTTTTAGTAGAGAAAAAAATAAAACTCATGGAGAATCAGTAATTTTTAAGTAAAATTCTCAAATCTAATGCCCATCCATCATAACTTCAATATCTCGCAAATCACCAGACTCACGTGATTATCAAATATTCGCTATGAAAGCTGTCGAAAGGCTCAACTTTAAGACTACAATAATCTAATAACCGTTTATTCCATGCCTTCCTTCATCAGAATTATTAGATCATTTCAAACCTAACCTCTATAGGCACAGAACAATCGATTTTAGCAGATATTTTTCTCTTTTCTCCAAAAATTTTCATTTTATTTTTTAAAATTTTATCATCAAGTCGTGCAGTTTCACTGCTGTCTTCCCAATTTCCATAACCGCACCTTCAGGTCTCTCATTTATTCTTCCTTACAATTCTATCCCACATTATAGTTTATCATTAGAACTTTCGAGTGATTTCCGTGTTACTAAGCTCAAAATATTTAATGATACGAAATAACTATATGTATATTTTCTCATAGAATAAAATCAAATAAAACGTGAGAAAATAACAAGAAAGTACAGATGAACAGGAAACTCACTGACTAATCGATGGAAAGATGGAATCCGAATAGATCAAACTATGTCTTAATGGATATCGAAAAAATTCCTCTTAGGGCTGTTACTTTTAGGAAGGGTCATCACTTATATGAAACATTCCTGCCTCCCGTCACTCGTCCTTTTATCCTTTAAGTCTTGTTTTGATACGCTTTTATCAGTGTCAATTTAATACGACGATAACATTTCGCGAAGCTACTTGCTAATAGGTGGTAGGTGATGATGTATGGATCTAGTTGTAGTTTTCATTGCGATGCCAAGCCCACACGGTCGACGAAAGCATCGTCATCATCCAGCGAGATTTCGACGACCGCCTAACCACCGCTTACCATAATTTGTCTTGTAATTCGTATAACGATCTAAGGCTTTTCTCAAGCTTTCTATTCTTGGCCAGTAGATCGTTTATCGCACACGAAAAGGTATAATGACGCATTATTAACTTTGTGGATGGTAGACAACTCGAAACTTCGCACTGCCTTCAGTCACGCGACGTTCTGCGCTATCTCCCTTATGTTGTTGTCGTGTGATTCTGATGCTTCACGTGACGAAAGACGTGGAATACATAGAATAGGATTTATATAGAATAGGTTATTCCATGATTTTTCCAAAATGGACCGAAACACTTCACATATATTTTTTTCGGTCTCTCCCACTAATTCTGCAAGTTTTAGGTTTTGCAGCAAAAACCAAAAAACCCATAAAGGACATCGGACATTACCAAAAGCGGTACGCAAACGCGGTAAACATTATATCATTTGCCTTGCAACTACATACACCAAATATTACTATATATGGAGAGAGAAAAAAGGGGATAGAGAAAACATGCAGTTGATCTTTGATCTATTGGCAGATGATTATCTCAGTAGATGGACAAAAAGCAATCAGGGGAGGAAATAGCACAATCATTTGTTAGAGAATAAAGTTAAGATGAAAAATAAAAGTTAGAATATTCAAATGGGGCGGAGGGAAGGAAGTGCTAGAAATGTGAAAATATAATTGATGAGGAAATTAAGGGAATATTTAGAGAGCTAGAGATGGTAATGATAATGATGTTTACGAATGAATGAACCGCCTGTCACCAAGGGTGAGTAGCAATACAAATACCGATGATTCATGGTTACTTGATTCATTCCTGAATTATCGATGATAGTATAAGCTTGTTTCTGATCAGATGTGAAATGTTAGTTAGCGGTGATATTTGCAACTGGAAAAAGACTAACACTTTCGTAGACTATTTTTTTAGATTGGAAGATGAGAGTAGTTGAATGTGTCTGATGTGAAGATTAGGTATAACATTTCGTTTGCTTGTTTTCGATGACTTTATGCAGGTGCACTAGAAAAGACAGATGAGTTATTGCGTTGCGTTAAAAAATTAAAAGTAAATAAATAAAAAGCAAAGGATGATATTGTATGCATAATAGTACCGTTTAGTCGCAGTGATATTCGAATTTTTAATTGAATATAATTGCTTATCCGGAATATCAACTTTCCTAATTAAAGTAATTAACAATAGTTTCGACTTTGATATTAATAAATATTATAAATATTAGCGTAATTATTTTATATTTATCATCCATCTTTACTTTAAACTTAATTGCTAACCGAAATTACGCATGAAATCAATTTGCTTAATAATATTCTTTCTAATCTTCCCCAATCACACTAAATAATACTTCTTTGAGCTATTCTCATTACAAGCAAGAATAAATTGTAGATGATTAGTTTTATTTCGAAACCTTTTCGATTTTAATTTCGGCATAATTTGATCAATGCAGCACTAACCGAATATTGTCTAACTCATCTGATTTATTAAAAAAAAAAAAGAAAGGAAATAATTATGATGATTGAATGAATCTGTAAATATCTTTCTGCGCTATATCAAAATTAGTTGAATAAATCTGTATTCAGGCCATCATCCTATCCTAATACAACCGAATGTTACGTTTCAGTTAGTCAAAATGCATCCATTAAAGTTTCATGTCGAAATATTTTTGAATAAATTAACTTTAATCAAAAGTTTAATGTCGAAATGTTTTCGAATAAATTAACTTTAATCAAAAGTTTCATGTCGAAATGTTTTTAAATAAATAAGCATTAATGATTGGATATAAGATAAATTGCAGAAGTATACGTGTGATTATTATTAATCCGAAATTCGTAAACCTATCTAGCGAATATTTTTTTCCTGAATTAGAAAAAGGTGGTTCAATTTTCCTTCAACTTGCAATGCTACTAATATATATATAGGATGATTTCAAAATTTATCTCGTTACTAATTAGATATTTCTAAAAGTTTGATGATTAAAACTAATTGGTTTTTTTTTTCTCTCTCTCTTTGCAGTAATTAGAAATAATGTCAGTGAATACATCAAATACACCGGATGGACGTGGAGTACTAATTTACAATGGCGAAATGTTTGTTTTCAGATCTTTATTGATGTAGAAACAAGTAGTACATACTTGCTTGTAACATTATTTTAACAATGTTTCAACAATTTGATTATATAAAAAATAAATTTTTGATAAGATTAAATATATGGCATGAAAATATTTAGCAATTTGTATTTGATCTTTTTTTTTCATCAATGTTTCGCTTAATAATTATTTGTTTATTCGAAGGATATTGATTTATACCGATGAAGTGAGCTGCCATTTTGACAATGGACCGGATAATATTTTCAGAGGAAGTAAATCCGGAAATTTATACCTAACAAGTCATCGTGTAAGCTTTTTAATTTCTTTATTTTTCCCTTTTTTTCCCATTTTAATTATTGCGAAGTTTATTTTATGAATCTATTATTTTAGGTCATTTTCATTAATCGAAAAAATGATTCGATGCGTTCATTTTCGATGCCATTTCATTGCATGAAGGATGTGAAGCTTGAACAACCTGTTTTTGGAGCTAATTTTTTGAAAGGCATTGCTTTAGCTCAACCTGGTGGTAAGTATTTCGTAAATTTTATGCTTCATCATGTCCGATGGATGAAGCCATACGATGTTTATCTGGACGAAAATTTTTTTAAGGCTATGATTTAATGTAGGGATCATTTCCTTTTTTTTATCACAAACATTATTTACCACCTTTTTTTTTGATTTATTATAGTAATTCTCAGTGATATAACATTCATTTCAGGTAATTGGAGTGGACAAGTGACTTGGAAATTAACATTTAGTAAAGGAGGATGTATTGATTTTGGAATGGCATTATTAAAGGCTGTGGACATGGGTTTGTTTATTGTTTAAAAGCAAGATATAACTTTTCATTTCTGCGGTAATAAAAAATGGATTTTTCATAGTAACTGCTTATTATTTGCAGCGCAACGCTTTCGTCCACACGGTGCGCCACCAGCTTACGCTCCACCACCTGGAAATTATTTTTCTGCACCACCATCGTACTATATACCTCCAGAAGGAAATTATAATGGTTTCCAGGCTCCAACGAATACTTTTCCTAATCATCCACCAGGTACTGTCCAATTCCACAAGAGTGTTACATTGTTGAAGTCTTCATCATTTTAAGTCTTTCCTTCAGTAGGAAATGTTGCAGACAACAACATTTTGTTTCCATTTAGTTTTGAGAATTTATTTAATAAATAAATATTTTTGATTTCATTTGTCAAATTTTCGTTGTTTAGCTGGTGATGTTTACATGTACGAAGCACCACCGCCATATTCCGGTATCGGTCCAGATGCTTCACCGATACCAGCAGGACAGCTACAAGGTTATGGAGTTGTACCAAGCGCTCCATCACACAAGCAGATGTATGCACCGCCGCTTCCTACCAAAAGTTAGACAGTTACTAACTGTTCCAGTCGAAATGCCATCTTTATATTCCAATCATTTTGTCCACTTTCCTTTTTTTGATATAAACGAAAACGTACTGTGTTCCTCCCATTATATCGAAATCGTACTGTGTTACTCCGGATTTCTCATTTTTTTTCAGATTTCTGAAGATTTTCTCGACACTCTTTTTAGCGTTTTGTGTTTTCTATACATTGCTTTTACTTGAAATAATTTTTTCTATAATCCATAATTTTCAAATTTTGCGTTTTGGTATTATCAATATTTTTTTTGTCATTCCACGGGATTATTGGTTGCGAATTTCTATGATGTATGTAACAATGATAACTGTATATTGACCTAAATTTATCATCAATTGCTTATTCATATATAATAAATATTAAAATTTGGAATTTGGGCTTTTATTCTTGTCGCAGGTTTACGCCATCATTTCTCCTTATTTCTATATTTTTTTGGTTTTATTAGAATTGTGTTTGAAGTATGAGACTGTAATTTTTAAGACTTTAATTTTTGTAAGTTTTTAAGATGTTCTTTAGTCAATTGCAGCAAATATATATGAAGATTGGAGATATAATGTAATCGTAATTTTTGAATGATTTTAGGTTTTTTTAAATGTAGTCGTCAACCTTCACCTCTTGTGTAACATTTTTGCGGACGGTACGCACTGTCTGGTTTCCGACTTTAACTGTTCTTTTTTCTTTTTTTCACTTTTGTGAAATGTTTCATTAAATTGTTTGCGTGACTTTCTCAACTATTTCAGACACAGTTATTGCAATGCATCCAATGTCTATGTCGTTTGGTAACGATCAACAGGAAGCAGTTGCAACTGACGGAGGTTTCATTGCTAATAATATTATTTCTGATTTTGATCAGGTTCGATTTTTTATATTTTTGATGATCAGATTTGAAAGGACTTTTTCATCATAAGAATGATACGAAGTGTAAGCTAATGTTACTTAGATTAATAGTGTGAAATAAAATGTTGTGAGAATCAAATGTGATAAAACATAAAATAGTAAGATGAATTTTATTTTGTTCCATCAAATTTTTTTATTCTATGCTAGTCCAAAATTATTGATTCAAAACCATTGGTACTATCTGATGACAAAATAATGATCATATAGGTGTATATTCAGAAACAATCATTAAGCCAAGCATTCGTTCATAGTGATGGTATATATTTGTTATATAAAAAAATGTTTAAAGTTTCTTTTTTTTAATTATAGTTTTTGATAGGTGAAAAGGGTATGAACTGGTGGGAAAAGCGTTCAGAGCAATGTTTCAGACTTGCCAAAACGGTATTATTAATAATGTAACCGTTGAAGGAAATAAATTGAACGAAACAGGCAATTATCAAACGGTTTATTCAGGTTTTATCTTTGTTATAATCTTGTCATTATTACTTATTAAAGTTTTATTCTTGACGCAAGTCAAATAGTTTCTTTTAAAATATGAACATATATAATTGATATGTTTTTGTTATTCATCAGGTATCCGCCCATTTCAAAATATTTCGCTTTATTTTGTCATGCTAAAGTAATTTCAATGAATCATTAGTTATGTAATTAAATAGAGACTTTGGTACCAAATTCAGTCCCTGTTCATGACAGGTATTATCATATTGAAATGTGAATAAAGTTAAAGGCATTAGCTGCTCAAGGACTTCTCCTGCAAATATTTCTTTTAAGAAGAATTTTAATTTTTTCTCATTTTATTCGTCACGGAATTCATCACTATTACTCTTTACTAATTTCATTGATATTTTTCAAATTTTGATCGGTTTTATGAAATCACTGTGTTAATTCTCATTTTGATCCAGCCTCTATAAAGTAAAGTCTCAATGAAGAGTGGAAAATATACTTAAAATGATACGAAATGAGAGAGAAGATTCATATCTGAAACCTTTTTTTTCCAGAATATCAACCTTTAGTTGGAAGTTCGGTAGGCATGACAGCACCAATCGTTCCACCCGCTTCTACACCAGCTTCTTACCAACAATTAAATCAGGTCTATTTTCATATTTATCAGAATAATCAACTGTTAGTTTAAACTACTAAATCGTTATAACTTTCTGAACATTTTCATCATAAATCGAGTTTCTTTAATTGTTACATTTTGTTGACGATAGCACTCTTAACGTTTGCTTAAGAAGCATTTTTGTCGAATATGTTTAGCAAAATAATGGATAGATCTTGGCGGTAGATGTTGAATCACTTAAGATTTATTATATTTCCGGATAGTTCCAGATGTCACCGCAACAAACAATTGCATCAGCAAGTCAATTCGATCATATCACAGTTATGACAAATTTGCAACAGCCGTCTGATTTATACACCGGAATCCCCGGGATCCCTGTATCTTCAGTTTCTAATGGTTAGTGTAAAGTATCCTAGCGATTTGTTTCCGCGTGATTTCTATGTTATATTCAATTACATAACCTATCTCTTTTAGGGATAGCTTATACGATTCCTAATTCGACAAATAATGCCGCACTTCAAATTTATCCTCCGTCAGCAATAACACAGCAAGTGCAGCAATCGGTTCCAGCGCTAAATGCAGTACCTCCGACAGCGATGCAAAATCGACCGGATTATAATAGCATGCAGCGCTTACAAACCTCTCGTGCCAATAATAGTCGAACCAAAACGTAAACTACATTTTTGAACTACCGAAATCAACTAATATTGCATTTGACTTATCGCATGTTAATGATTTTTTTGTCTATTTTTCTTCAGGACGACATATCCATCCTTATTGCCAGTAAGTGGACGTGGTTCCAACCGACAGATTGCTAATATATCTGTTGTTAATGATGATGGACCAACCGTACGACAGCATTTACAACAACAACACAGAGCTCGTCTACAACAACAATTAGCTATGCAGGAAAAAGCGAAAATGGATAAGGTTGTTTGGGTTCTTGACAGTAAATCTGACTATCTGATGATGATAGTATCAATCTGATGATTCCTATAACCTCCACAGGGTCACAAATGCTCTTCTCTAAACGTGGTTTAGGTTTTTCTGTAAGCAGCAAAACGAATATTGCATTTCTTGTTTATTGGGATAGATTCAACGTACCAGACGTTTATCTGTTTTGTTTAATAATCTGCTAGTTGGCCTTTCAATAAGCTGAATTTGTCAATTTTTAGCATAATCTGCTGAATTAGTTAAAGTTTTTTTAAATCCATTCTGAAATGCATATGATGGTAAAATACTAATTTCGAGTATGGAAAGCGACTTTTACGTTAATTTCTGATGTCGTAGAAAAAGAAGAAAATCCGACGGCGATTTGTTTTAGTTCCATTTTCAGGAATCCCTTCACATTTCTTCGAGTTTTCGACATATTAAAATTGTTTATTTATTCACTATGAAAAGTACATCTCGTTAAGGTTTCAGATTTCGCTGTAGAAATTTCTACTATTAATTTCCTTATCCTGTTTCTTTTAAATTGCTCATTTTTTTATCTGCTTAGGACGATTTAATGACCGAATATTCCGGTATGTTGTCACCGGCTGTCGATAAGATGTCACCGGTATCAACCACCATGAATTTGCCAACACCAGGTCCAGCAAATATGCTCGTATCAGCACCTATGAATATACCTGCAGCGCCATCAATGAATATATCTGCAGCACCACCAATGAATATACCTTCATCACCATCAATGAATGTACTCACTTCGCCATCAATGAATATACCTGCCTCGCCATCCACAAATGTACCTGTATCACCATCGATGAATATACCTCCGTCGCCCTCCATGAATATTTCACGTGTTTCACAGATGCCGCCACGACAGCAATACATTCCTCGTTTGGCTCCTCAGAAACCACGAATTATGGCAGATCGTGTTCGGCGAATGCCGATCTATGATAACCATGGTACTATTTATGTCATTTGTTCTACAATTATTGCAATCAAATTCTGGGAATCTCTTTTGACTATGGGTTTTTAGAGAACTAAGCTTGGATTATTATACTTCTATCAATTTTAAGAGCTTGTAAGACTTATATTCCTAAATCTACTGTCAAATTGATTTGAACACAATTATTCTAGTGTAAATTTTGCTAAATTTCATTTTGTCGAAGTAACATCCATTATTTACTACAGACTGACAAGATTAGTTGTTAAAATTCATCAAAATCGCCTGAAGTTTGTACGATCTTCTTTTTTAGCATATCAACCAACACCATCGTTTTGCCCACAGAAGGAGCGTTCTGCTGAAATTCATGAGGAAGCCATTCAGCGCGCGGCTGCTGTTTATAATCAAATCAGAGGGCAGAAGTATCATCCACCTGGTGCTAATCCTAGCCAGGTTTTTTTTAATGTGGTAATTTAATGATTACAATTAAATTTGCCAATATTTTTGTAATATTTTTCATTGAAAATATATAAATAAAAAAAATGTTCCAAAGTTATTGGCAAATTCTTGAAAAATTTTGTTACATTATGAATGAGTGAGTATTTGAGAACATTACTTTAGCCTAGAAATATGGCATATCCTCGATCTCCTACCGCAACAGCTACTGCTGAGACATCGGTTGAAGCTGCCCAGAAGAAATCACCAGTAAGAAAAAGGTACAGTATTACTACGAATTCACTTTTTTGTTTCGACTAATTTAGGAAAAATTAATGTTAGCATCTATATGAAGATTTTTCTGTAGATCATGTCTTGCAAAGAAGAAGTAAGAAAAAAATCTATTGTATATATTTGTGATGTTTTTGAATGTTTTAACATTCCGTTGGTCGGTTCATTGCATCAGAAATTTCCGTCTTTCTTTAGCTTAGTTAACAATTATAGTATTTTTAATAATAAGTATAGCATGCGATAGTGATAAAATTTGTAATTAGAAACTAATACAATAAATGATTAGCAATAGTGTTTGAGATATTGAATTGTGAAATTTGTTGAAAATTTTTGCGGCATTTCTTTATCTTCAAACATGAACTATATATAAAGTTAAAAAGAGCATAGAAATGTGCGGACAAATTTTATTTGAAAACATATTATATATATATATTCCTCATGATTTGATCCTTTTTAATTAAATTACAAAAAAATGCTAAAAAATTTTAAACAAACAATTTTTTAATTAACATTTTCTGTTCATTTTTGGAAGGAAAGAAAGAAGAAACATTTGTAGGAAATTTTTTCTGTGTATTTACTGTTATCATTGTAACTTTACAAATATTCCACATTACGAGTTGACTCAACTTTTAATCTGCAAAAGTGATGGTTTACCATGAAATCCATTCCATTGATTTACAGAAACCATTCGATGATGTCAGCTTCACAGGTCCGTGTTACTGTACTTGGTACACAATCAGAGCCAGCCACACAGCAAATTATTACAGAAAGTGACCATGTCTTGCCAATTCATGGAATTGCTGGTCTTCCGAAACAGGTTATTATTATCACAAATGTTTTTAAAAAGTGAAAAGTTGTAAACCGTATTGCAATTGTGACCTATGCAGAACAGAACGTTTAGATTATTCCGCTCAGTCATCACAAAACATATTTGCACGGTTTACATTGCTAATTTTAGTCTCGTATTGAAATGGTGGAAGCGGGACCTGGAAAAGATGCTATTCCTCGCACCGGCGAGGAGAAACCACCTTGGCAGTTCGTTCGTACAACTAACAATGCTGTCGCCATTGGTACATCGCAAGTAAGTACAGCTTAGAGTATCTGATGTATTTGTTATCTTGAGTAAGATTCAAATAAATTTGTGCGCTCCCAGTCTAACGCTAATCAGTATTGCGCTATCAGCTTTTGATTTCGTTTCAGTTATACATTACTGTATACTGAGAACAAGTTAGTGAATTTTCAAAAAATGAAATCACTTTATTATTTCATTGTAAGATAAGAATTTCTCTATTTCAGACATTAGAAGAGGGCTCAAAGAATGACGTTGGAATAGATCCCTCCAGTGCGCAGAAATCATTCTCTATTCAGATTAGTAATAACAGTTTCTCTTTGCCATCTGCCGAACCGCTTCTTACGGAACCAATTGGTTCGTCTACCAGTTGTTCAGAATTGACCATGATGTCTGGTCCATCTGATCTAGTCACAGGTCCACCTATTCCTCCTGGTTAGTAATTTGTACACTTAATTCGGAGAAAATTAATGGTGGGAATAATTTCAGTTTGTTTAAAAAACGTTTAAAGGATTAGTTTAAGAGCAGTTTCAAGAAAACCAGTAATATTTTATTTCTTCAGCCAAATATTTTTTCTTTGTCATTGGATGTGAGATTTTCTTCTGAAATCGTGTGTTGTAATCTGAATGTAATATAATACAGGAAATGGTAATCATCTATCTGAATCAATACGTGAGGTAATGGCACAGGTTGATGATGACGTATTAAACTACACACGTGAGGCGCAATATATTCGTAAACTGTACTTTATGAAGCGATTGGTTGAATCTCTTGTTATTGTATGTTACTTAAAGTTTCTTAAAATAAGTTTTTATATTAACCGATATATTTCCAGTTAATTCTCTTATTTTTTCACCTTCTTTATTATGTATCATCATAAATAATTTAAAAAATAAATGCTCAAGATTCTGTTGCTGATTTTTGTTATATAGAAAAACGGCGCGTTGTGTGACGAAGTGTCACGTTTGAATCAGCGTATTCGAACAGTGATGGAAGAAAGAAGGTGAGAACTTTTTCTTTGTTGAATTCGAGACTTTATTATCCATATAAAGGAAATGTAGAATTCTTCGTTGCTCTTGCAAAAGAATTAAGTAAATAACAAATGAAGTGAACTTTATTTATTTTTGAGCATCTATCACAAGTTTGACGCCAAAGATCAAAGCTACATTATTGAAGCTACCTGAATAACCAAAATTATATTTTGCAGAGTTTTGGCAAAACGATTGCAGCATCATGAGCGTAATCGAATTCGTAGAATTCAAACCAAGTTAAAGAAAGTATCATTTGGACACTTGTTTTTTTTTGTTTTATTTGAATTCCAAATAAGATTCTCATTTCAAAGATCTTATTCTTCCTATCTTTTTTTTTGTAGCAAGCAGCCGCTCGAGCTGCAAAAACGAATGAATCACAGTTAATCCCCGTGTCAGCAACAAGTGGAACAGAAGGTTTACCAGCTGGTGATATCGAAACTTATGAAAGTGACGATTCTGATAAGACAATTGTTTCTAGCTGCGCGGCTTCCCCCAATACGAGCGCGTCAGTAAGTTTTCTATAGGACTTTGTTATGCAATTGAAAATAACTTTAAAGGATCTGAAAGTTGAATTGCTGGAAGATTCCTGAAGATTTATTTTTAATTCTGGCACTTTAGATAACTGGAAGTTATTATAAAATTTTGGCAATTTAGTGAAACAGAATAGCAATTTCAGATGTCTCGTGTCGAAACGCCGGAACCAGCTTCACGCAATCAAGAATTCTTATCGAAAGTGATGCTTGTCAACACCGTCGTTCAGGACGGTGCAAAATTTAAAATAAAAAGTGGTATGCGTCGTCAACTTTCAGCTAAACGTTCTCTTATTGACCGCAAAGAAAAAAAAGTTTCGTCAAATTAAGATTGTAGTCCACTTACCCTGTGATAGTTGGGTGTAAAGTTTCAACAGTAGCTATAATTGAAGATATTTTAACAAGTTTTTCATTAACTTATTTATCAAATTATTTCCTCAATTTATATGTCGCTACAGTTGTGTTTTGTTCATCTTAAAGTCATATCTTAAAGATTGTGAATAATAGTCGAATTTATGAATTTTATGGATGCCAAAATAATACCATGAAAGCATTGGTGGGATACTATTCTTATTTGTGACCTCATCTTTTTTTTCAGTTCCTTAACACTATTCGATCATTATTTCTCTTTCTACTGCTACTACCTGGGCATCGCTTTGTTGAAATATTAATATTGAAATTATATTTCATATGATTATTAAATCTTTTGCATCATTTTTTATTATTCATTTTACAGACACTCTGCATTAAATATATATCATACTTTCATAAAACTTATATTATATAATGTTTATTGATAATTTTTGTAAGATTTTTGCACACGATTTATTGGTGCATTGTCAGTTTTTTCTCAGTTAATTAGCCATGATCTCTGGATTCTATTCCATCTCTGTTACATTGTTCATCTGTATCTATAGAACATAAAATATTTTATATGTTGCTCACATCTAATGTGATATCTTCAACATTATGAAGTTCTCGTTGTAAATATGATGAGTTTTTAAATAAGAATAAATTTTCGCTGATAAATAGTGATCAATGTGATCAAGTGCTGGATGATATATCATAGTTCCAATAAAACTAACAATTGTCAATGTAACACAAATTGTATCAAATTTAATTTCTTGCAAATACTAAAGCTGATGCAATTAAAAGAAAGAAAGGAATCAAACAAGCCAAAAATGCTTACAAAACACTGTTGCTTTTGGGAGTTATCATTGGCTTAAAAGATGCATGAGATGTTTGAAAATTTTCAGAAGTTCATAGTTCAAGGCTGTTTTAGAATTAATGTTTTCAAGCTAAATTAAGTTATTTGGGCGGTTTGCTCTAATTTAGAATTATATTTCGTGAGCCAAACTATCAGCCTGCGTTTGTTAAGGTATCGATATAATATCGATATATATTTAATAATAATATCGATATATATTTAATCGATATAATACAAATGTGATCTTTTGCTTAAAAGCAAGATTCCATTTTCTGGAAACAAGAAAAGCAAATTTGCTTTTTCCAACATTTGTGCAAAAATGCTGTTTTGAAAAATATCTAGAAGTTTTCAAATTTCTAGATTTTACCATAAGTTCATTTTTTCGTTCACTTTATTAAAATTCAATTAATTGTAATATCATTTTGCCTTGAAATTTGAATGGATTCTCTGAACAAAACTATTTTTTGATAAAGTTCATTTAGCTTCTATTACATAAAATATTCGTTTACCGATTCGTGCCACATAAACTTGCCTTTTGCTTGAAATCTTTTATTGCTTTTTCCCTGCCTGTAATCTTGGAATTTCATTAAGATATTTAAACTTTTATGGAAAACCTCTTATAGGTGAAATTGGATTCGGATTTTGGAAAAATAATAGCTTTCATATTGTTAAAACAATGGGACAATTTTGATGTATATTCTAAATTGTTAATTTATGAAAACCTTAGTAAATTATGCATCGTAAAGTTGCCAGTAAGTTGTTATTATTTTTGCCAAGTATAGTTAATTATTAAATGGCGCTGAATAGTTTAAAGTAATGAAGTTCATTATGCATATAAATAAACTTCGGGAGGTTTATTACTGCATTTTTGTTCATGCAACAGTGAACGGGGATACTCAATAAATGGCTTTAAAATATAACGGGTTTATAATAGATGCGCAAATCGATTTCTTCTAAATTGTATGATCAAGCAGTGAAATTAGGAAAGGATTTCTTTGAACTGTGTATAATTTCGGTAATGATCAATATTCAGTGATGTTTGAATTATTAATTGCCTTTTTGAGTGCTTGAATTATTAGTTGCCTTCCTGAGTCATATGTCTCTGCTGATGTAGTCCTCTGATGGCTGTTATGTTTCATTAGTGTTTATCTCTGTTTTTATTAAATTAAATATATACGGACATTTTTAGCTGTCAATTAACGTTTTGCAAATCAAGTTGCGTGCAACAGGTGGAACAAAGCAAAGACTCCAGGACCGGGAGCGCAGTCATGCATTAGTGTCATGCATCCTTCGTGCATTAGCTCGTTCTGGTATTGAAATTGGTCGGATTGAAGATGTAACACCTCAGCAACCATTGTTGCTGCCTTCATCAAAATATTCAACAAGATAGAAACTTTTTTCGGTGAACATTCTGGATTGCCTGAATGTATTCTTTTATGACGTTTTGTTCTGTCATTGCGTAACGGAAAATATTTGAGCCTTTAATTACAGTAGCTCAATTTAAGGAACTTTCCAATGACATTGATCAGCCTCGGTCATGAAGTCTAGTTTTTATATTTTATTCTAACAAAAAACTGCATGGTCATTTAACTTTTTTTTATCCATTTTTTAAACACGTTGTAAATCTCTGAAATCTTAAAATTCAGAATATTGAGAAGTCAATCCTCGAAGACTCGCATTTGATCTATGTCATATCTTCATATGATCGACGATGCTTAAACTTTTCCCGAACTATTCGTGAATGACAGTAGACATAGATCATCGGTCTGTTAGTCCTTGCGAAAATATCATCTGTCCTTTTGGATTGGGCCTTTCATTTCTTTGAGTATGAAGATTAAATTATTGACAATGATATTTTCGGAACTGATTTTATCGTCAATTTCTGGATGATCAAATCTAAAAATTACAGTCACGCTCTACAGCTTTATTGCAAACTGGATCAAACTCTGCCGCAGAAATCACATGGGTATTCAGAATGAATTGGGTCTGAAAAGCAAACTTGCAAACACCTATTTCAATAGGCGATCATATGCCAAGTATTTTATCGACAATCACTAGTACTACACCGCGCTGCTAAATACAACGCATAACAACACTAACATGATACAATATAACATAATATAAATGAATCGAAGCAAAATGGAAAAGTAAGAATTTAATGGGCAAATATCGACTAGTAATAATGACTCGTGCAGTTCATGCAAGATTAAATTATTTCACAAGCAATCTTGAAATATAGTACATAAAATGCTGGAGATACGTGTTAAGAACAGAAATATGTATTAAAAAAATTAATATCCGACTCGATACATTTCTCGGCATTTTCAAATAAATATAAAAATCACTTTCTCAGTACCAGCATTTCTGTTGTATACTTCACCACTGCTTTGAATACAAAAAATGAGAATTTTTACTGCTCTAAAATCTACGCAGTACTAAACTGTACTGAAATCTGTAATGAAACTTCCATTTAATTCCCTATCAAATAGTTGTTAAAAACAATGATACGCTATAAACAGATATTTAAATAGGTGGAGCAAGTAAGTTCGCCTGGATCATCTAAATCATTTTGTATGGATGAATTTCTACTTTACTGTTTTTAAATTTTAATACTCTCAAAACTTATAGTAATGTTATCTTAATTTTATCAAAATACTCTCACTAGAGGCACTTTCCATAAAATAATGTTAAAATAACCTCTAACAATAATGTTAAACAATATGCACAATATGCAATATGCTTAATAAGTGCATATCAGAGAAAACTGCTAAAATATCCATTGTAAACATTTTCAACTCCTGCTTGTGTCAGGTTTCGCCAAGGACATCAAATAATTCTTCAATTCGCCACCTTCGATAACATCCGGAATTACCCATGTATCACTTCCATCAAGTTGTAAAGGATAACGACAGAGCGGACACCAGTCCTTCTCCATTGATTTCCACTGTTCGATACATATCGAACAGAAAGTATGAACACACGGCAATACTACATCTGGTCTACGTTCCATACATATTATACATTCACTCATGTTAAAAGCCCTGCAAATATTCATGTAAAAAAGATGAAAAGTTATCCTTATATATGGCTACCATTTATCCAAAATATTATGATTTGCAGCTAAAAAAATGTATTTGCTGCCATATATTTTCCTAAGGCCATCTTCAATACCTTTAAATGACACTAATTAAATAAACAATATCAGTATAACAAACCAGTGAAACAGCTATAACTCGAATAATTTGACAAAAATAATTGGAAAATGATCTGACCTGTCTATATATGCATCAAGAACGCGTCCTTGAAACAGTGCTCCGTCTGTCTCATCGATAGCGTCTCTTAGCAGATAATATAGTGATTTCTGAAGGCTAAGGAATTGTTCAAATGAGAACACACGGTAGGAATCTGCCGATCTTGCATTAATCTAAATTTAATGGTGAATTATAGGATAAATTGAATATGATCAACACGAAGGTTCATACTAGATACAAAGAGTAGGTAGAAGGTAGAGGATATAAACAGCATGGAATTAATTAAAATTATGACGATTAAGTTATTCCATTGGTATAAAAATTTTAATTTCAACCCATCATAACAACCAACCCTTTTGTAAACAATGATAATATGGTAGTATCTGCAAACGATGGTTAATTGCCACAGAAATTTCAAAATATGCAAAATTTAAACTGAATCATTATTCATTTAATTCCTAAAATTCATGCATGATCGGCTTGCTAATTGTAACTGCAATATGCATATAATGGATAAACTTCAGAATGATGCGCCGGAAGGTAGCTTTTTAGCCTAATACACTGAAATTTAAATGTAAGAAACAAAAAATCGGTGAGAGAGAGTTGAGGAAAAAAACGAATTTTACTTTCAAAGTGCATATTCTAACAGTCACTTTCCAAAGCAGAGTATTAGCACTGCCTTTTTTGATTGCGAACAATAAATGCCTTCCATCTGAGTCAACAAAATTAGCACATCTGAAAATTTTCTAAAACTGTTTAAAAACTATACTTTTTCTTTTAATTATTGACCATAAAAAATCGCTGCGTAACATATACGAATATCAATTTTCTTCTTTTAATGATGATATGTAGGGTGTCTTATTTATAAATAATTAGACCGGAAGGGAGATATATCATTGAAGAAGAATGTACTGGAAAAGTTATGATAGGTTGAACCATAACTACCGAAAACGCTGACACTGTAAATATTTCATGTACCTTTTAATTAATGAATTAACCTGTCATTGAGTTCGCAGATAAGCTTAACAAACTGCACCCATGTCATCGACAACATCTCAATAGTGTTTTGAGATCTCCTCGATAACATACTTCGTTCTTGGCCCATTCTGCTCTGAAAATAACAGTTACTAATGTAATGATTGTAGGGGTTTAGCCAAAAATAAACAAACAGAAGCAATGAGAGCACATATCGCGATTGGAAATTTCATATTTAAAATAAAAATTTCGAAAAACACCACGTGTTAATGTTTTTCGATATAGGTGAAAAAGTTTCCCACTAGTGAACGTTAAACTTGGAAATCTTTGTGATTATAAGATTTTAAAAGTATTTACTTTTTGTAAGAGCAAAATGACTAGATCGCGGCCTATTTTTAGTACACTGAACGCTTAGCATTTGTTCTAATCCAAAACAATAGTGATTAGATAGAAAATTATTCATTCATAAGTTAAAAAATTTCGCTTCCTTCTTCTAAGAGTAAAGTTCCGAAAATGCTTTTCTGGCTGATCCGTTCTTCCTGGGAAAACCTGGCTAGACTAAGCAGAAGCCGTGAATTTTACGGATGTGGTAGTGATAGTATTAATTTTTCTTTATTGGATTCTGCGGTGTATAAATGACCCATTTTTGCTTTGGATTTGAATGGATAAAAAATCGTTCCGATAATTGTCATGTGGTGAGCAATTCCGGATGTCTGCATATTTTCGCACTTTGGTATAGTCATTTTCCGCAGCATTTCTATTGCCTTCATTTCTGTAGCATTCCTATTAATTCATTTGCCTTTGCATTTCAGGAATGTGTGACCAATGAATGAAAGAAGTGGAAGTGTAAGTTTATTTTGAACAAACAGTTTCAATGTTGGAGAAACAATAAAAGATAAATGAAATTAAATAAAAGATGTCCAGTACTTTTTGAATAGAATGAAAAGTTTTGCATCTCAAATCGTTGAATTCATGTTACATACCACATAGACTAAATCATAAATTCAACTAACCATTTGCTTTAAAAGAAGCCAGTTAATATATTATTGTTGCATATACTGTTGGCGGCAACATATCCAGTAATAAGAGGTGATAGATATACTTTGACAGCTTCTAACAAATGTATCATCCATGATGTAAATTCTTCTTCCTCTTCAAAAAATTCTGCAGTTTGAGGTAGTAAAATCAGTACACTAATGATGCTAAAGAAAGAATTCATCAAAAGCACCACAGTAGAGAAAGTGAAAATTATAGATGAAAATTATTGCCGAAATTGAACACATGTTCCTGTATGTAATAGCATTTCATGGTCATTTTGTTGAGCTGAAATGCTACAAAGTTGTGAAAAAGTCGCAGCTTCTTAGATGAGATATAACGCGCAAGATAAATGAATTTAATTTCAAGTTCGAGAGAAAACATTATCTCTATGATGGAAGCAAATTAACGTCAGAAGTGAAAAGACGACGATTCCGGAGTGAAAACAAGGAGATGGATATTTCAAATATCGATAATGTTAGCGAATTTGTTCTTTTATGATTTTCCCTTTTATTTTGTATTATTTAGATTTGAGTGCCTTTGGAAATTTTCTCACTGATTAAAAATGAGAATTTCAATTTGTAATATTTTTTTTGTTTAGCCGAGTGGATTTTTAAATGATAAAGTTTAACGTCAAAACATAAAATTTTAGGAGTCGAAAGGTTTGGAAACAAAATTTGAATTGAATAATGTTTTTGTGGCTGCTTCACTTGATGGTCCACCATGGTATAAGCCGAAAGTGACAGATAGCAAATTGAGCAGTGATGATGTGACTGATTCAATACCAATGTTAAGAAAGATGGAAGAGATGCTGAATTCGAAGATCGCTAAGGGCGATGAAAACCCTTCTTTCAGGTATCTTTTCCTTTGAAGTTTTTAATACCTTACTAATTGCTTGTTTTTTTAACAAGGATTTTGCTTTTTATATAATCTAACAACTGATCAGTAACAGTTTCCTACGTTTGCTTTGCATTTTGAAAATTGTTGTTTGCGTTGAGTAATCAGCTGTACGAATATCATAGGCTGTTTTATATTTGATTCATTTTGTTGCAGACATTTTCGTGTGGAATGATTTCGGCAATATTTAGTTTTTGATTTTGCTTCATACTTTAACTGCCAGCTGGAATCGATTAAAGCAAACTACTAAAAAGAATAAGTTGTGCTAATTTAATGTTATGTAGTTATGTCATGTTTCAGTAGTGGTGACAGTATACAGGTTGCTTCAGATGAAGATTTTAGTTTTACTCATGCAAACGTCTTTGACTCAATCATGTCCACTACATCTTCGTGTAATTTGTTTTTACAGGTGTAGATTGAAGATAATACAACTTTTTATGTTACTTTTTTCATTTAAATAAAATTTTTTTGATTTTTATAAAGTCTCGTTTGTTTTATACTTATTCCACGTAGTATTTATGTAGGTGGTAAGAAAGTTGCCTTTTATCCTATGGTTTTTCTAAATTTTCGCATTTTGCATTCCAGATATTATTCCCATTTATTCCTGCTGGTCTTGGGATGGTTTTTGCAGGATATATTCTTGATATTGTACAGCACTGGAATTTGTTTATCGAGGTGCATTTTTAGTTGTTTAATCTTCCTTGAACTAGATTTCTTTGACTCGTATTTCTGAATGCTTCCAAAATTAGTATTTAATCCATTGCTTTTTGCAGGTACCTGAAACATTCATTTTGGTACCTGCATTACTTGGCTTGAAAGGAAATCTTGAAATGACCTTTGCATCCAGATTATCAACATTGGTACGTTTATCGCTCTGCCTTTTCTTCTTGGAAATATTATTACTACTTTAGAAACGCATTTAAAATAATGCGATATATTATCCTGCTTTCACGTAATCGTCGATGCTTCTCGTTGTAGCTGAATTTGCTGTTGAGATTGAAATAGATTCATAATATGCTTAAATATATTCATTTAATTGATCAGCAGCTGATTTCTTAGGCAATAGTATTATACATATAATCCAAATAAAAAATGTATCTGTTTGAAACAACTATGTCAGGCAAACATGGGGAGAATGAATTCAAATCCAAAGAAGATTATTATTGCAAACTTGGCTCTCATTCAAGTACAGGCAATTGTCGTAGCATTTCTCGCTTCTGGCTTTGCTGTTATTCTTGCATGGATACCAAAAGGGCAGGTGATTCTGGTAATTTTCGAAAGTGACATAGAATTACTGATATCACTGAACTCTGATCTCACAGAATGAGAGTAATAAGAGTCATTGGTTAAATTGTTAGCAGTTTTTATATGTAAATGCAGAAATTAATGAGATACTTCATCCAGTAATTTAGTTAACTTACTAACATTCGTATTTTTGTTGTGGGAGTGACAGTTTAGTACATCGTCTCAAAAGTTTGCTTTATAAGGATATCCTTTAAAAGCTTACAGTGATGACCACTAGCATTTATTGTTCAAAACCAGTGCAGAAACATGTTTTATTTTTTCTTCAGCGGATATACATTTCCAGATTGATTGGTCTCATGCTGCCTTATTATGTGCAAGCAGTCTAACAACGGCATCACTGACATCATTAGTGCTCAGTATAACAGTGATATGTGTCGTTTTAATTTCACGAAGTTTCTCAATAAACCCTGATAATATTGCAACACCAATTGCTGCCTCACTGGGTGATCTTACTACCTTAGGAACTTTGTCATTATTAGGTAATTGCTTAATTTCAATTTAAGTAGCATTAATTTGTGTTTTCTGCGATATGAATAGGCTTACCTGCTTTTTTCCTTCCATATTGAAGGAATGCATTTTACTACGCATTTATATCATTGTTTCGATGTAAGTGCAATCATGCTAGAATGAAATGTGAACAGTGATCATGAAACTGTTTACCTTTAGTTTAGTGCGATTTGGAATCGACAGTTTTATTTAATTTAGACGATGACAGAGGTGCCTTATATATTTATCCAGAACTTTAAATAATATACTAAGATCGAAAGAGGGAAGGAACAGACAGAACAGCTGTTTTACGCTGAATTTTATGAATGAATGAGCTTAACCCTTGATTTTGATTGATTAAAAATATTATGTTTGCTCAGAACAAAGAAGGGGAGATGCATCCTGTGTTACGAGATTTTCATAATCATATTTATAAGGAGTAAAAAAGGAAGGACGACAAAGGTGGCCTGGAAAAAAGGATGAGAATTGGAGGGAAGTGAATAAAGCTCTTGATGTCCTTTGTATCACTTTTTCACTGTACTACAATAGTTGTGTCAAAGTAGTTATGTCGTCCCCACAATATTGCATAAAAATTTATGTGGTTTTCACGTCTAAGCTTATGTTTTAACAAGTTTTACATGGCATTTTTGATTTATTACAGAGTTATGTTATCTTAATTTTGGTGCAATGAAATGTTGTAGGTTCGATATTTCTTGCCGCACATCTCAACGAAACTTGGCTTAATATTATTGTGATCGTAACATTCATAATGGCAACACCGTTTTTTACCTATGTGGCACGAAAGGATAATGGTACAGTCGATGTGTTAGAGAATGGTTGGTCACCCATTATATTCAGCATGTTGATAAGTAGTGCTGGTGGTTTTATGCTGGAGAGCACCATCAAACGATTTCCGAAAATTGCAGTCTTCCAGCCTGTTATAAATGGTAAGCTGGAATATTAAATGTACCTGAAACTTTTATGTTTTAGGTTCATGTTAATTCATTTTCTTTTTGCTCTACCTGGCTCGTACCTTGTACCTACACAATAAAAGCACCTTTTTCTACATGACATTGAAAGTCGAAGTGTTATTTTGTACATAGAAGGTTGTGTTTTGGAGTTTTTTCTTTTTCAGGAGTTGGTGGTAATCTTGCAGCCATTCATGCTAGTCGTCTTGCTACGTTTTATCATCAACATTATGCATTTGGAACATTAAGAGAGACTTTATCAAGTCATTTCAGTTTTAAACGAGCATTCTTTTCTAATGGTAAGTGTTTTTTACTTTTTCTTTAAATAATATATTTTGTAGCTGCTAAAAATTTTGCCAATGTTAATGTATGTTAAAGGTTTTTACTTCCTCTTCGGTTATCTCTTGTCTCGCTAAACAAAAGAAATATTTTTAGCTGTAGATGCGTATTCAGCTCGTGTGTTGTTGTTGTTTGTGGTTCCTTGTCATATATTCTTCAACTGGGTCATACAGATTTTACACAAAGGAAGTAGTCTGCCGTCTGGACCACTTTTTACTAGTATATATATTTGTGCAGCGTTAGTGCAGGTTAAACTGTTTATTTTTCTGAATAAATGAAGCTTAGGTGAAGTCTCTTGTGAGCTTCACTTATTTTGTTTTCGTTAATTAATGGAACTAATTCCTATCAAATTACGTTACTCCACAATTATCACAGGGTTGCTTTCTTTCATGGAGTCTTTGAAATAATAATTGGGGAAAAGAGTCAATTTTTATGCTTAAACAAGTTAAACAAGAATTTGAAGGTGAGTAGTGAGTTTTCAGGTCATCTTGCTCCTTTATATGTGTCAGCTACTTGTTGCCTTTTTATGGTCGATAAAGGTGGATCCAGATTGTGCTTCAATACCATATTTAACAGCCCTTGGTGATTTGTTTGGTACATTTTTGCTATTTTTAATATTTGCTTCTCTTTCTTGGTTTAGCAAAGATTGAAATTTCCAGTAATAAAATAGTGGTAATTGCATTTCTCCAAAATCGCTTTTCCAGTGATTTCTTTTAACAAAAGATGTAGATTTAGACTTTTGTACATTGTTGCAAATTAAATGTAAACTAACTAAAATCTTGGAAATTTGTTCTTCATTTGTCGTTGCTTATTTTCTTGCAATTTTAAACTGTGATATGCTAGAATTAACCAAGTTTACAAAATGTCCATGCACTTGTAAGTGTACTTTTTTTCAAGACGTTGCTCCAAAGAAATTAGTTCAATCCCTACTAGACACATTTAAACTTCGTTCTGCTTAGTGACAATGATATCGCTTTTTTTCCTGTCGGTTTCTTCACTAATAAATTGGTTTAATATTGCTTGTTCGTAGTGGTTAGGTCATTTTGTTGATTGCCTTAGTTTCTGTATCTCATAGATGAAAAAAATCCTTACCTGTGATTATTGTTTCTCAATATGTATTAAATGTTAAAATTAATAATTGTAGAAATTTGAGAAGGTTGCATTTTTTATTATTCTATTGAAAATTTTTGTTATTATTCTATTGAAAAAAAATATCAATGAAGAAGAAAAGTTGAGTTTTCCCCGAATTTCGAGCAAGATTTCACATCTTCTTTTCCAAATTTATTCCTTATTTAAATTTCGATAGTCGGATCTCGAGGACTTTGATTTTAACAGAATTATACGTGTCCAGCGCATATGATGCAATGAAACTCGTCGCTATGAAGAACTTAATAGAGTCTTCGCGGAAAGTACGTGACAATTCTACTATGCTGACAACGCAGCAGAGCCACCCCAATCGAATTGAACTATTAAAAGCGAGGAACCATCGTTTAAATGCGAATTAGCTTCCTGACTGTCATAAATTAAAAATTTCTCTCTTCACTCTAGAATAGGTTCACTATTAACGTGCAAAGGCGTCAGAGGTGTTTCAGTGTTATATGCTCGCTTTAAATGTAAACATACTACATTTATTGTGACACCATATGTTGCTGTTGCGACCTCGGGCGTGTTTTATACTATTCATATGTGATTGGGGGTGGTACAATCAGATATTCCAAGTTAAATGGTGTTATGAAGTCACTGATAATTTACCCATAGTGATTTAGCAGGTATGACTTAAAATTTCCCTGTTATACACTACTATTTAATATGGAGACATTTCTGCAAAAATATGTTTAAAAAAAGTGTAATGCATCAAAGATCAAAAAAGATTGTTCCAAAGACCAAAGATTGTTTATACCTTCTAGTAATGTTGCATACTTCTTAAAAAATTACTTATATTAACGATTTATCTTTATCTCTTCTATCATGAAGTAAAACTCTATTGATCCGTGATGAAGTTAAATTTAGATTGAAATCATTGATTTTCCAAATAACAATAACGTTTCCCCAATAACATTAATTGGTAGTGAGATTGTTATGTTCACATTTTTCTTAGTTCTTATAAATCTATATAATTTAGCGAGTCACATTATTATCTTTCCAGTTAATGTATAAAATGTAATTAATTGAAATGATAATTGTCATTTCCGCCATATGAAAATGTCCGCGTGGCGCATACGATACGGCCATTCTCTGTTATCATGACCCCTTTTTTCTATCTTATCAAATGATATGCTTTTTTTCACTGTTCATTCATTGCTTTTTCTTTATTTTTACTATTAAATATTCGTCTCGTTTATTCTGTTAAGTCTATTTATAGGCACTTATCATTTCACTCCATCTTTCTTCCTTCCAGCAATGTATTTCGTTTGTTTAACAATGATAAAACAATCAGACTTTTTTTAGCAACGAAATTGAAATTCATTTTCTTGAAATGCCAAAATTTTGCATTAATTAATTTTTTTCCTAAAGTTTCCAATGATTTCTTGAAGCATTTGCAAAAATCATTAGTTCAGTGCACTTTTTCCAGTTAGCTTTTGATAGTTAGTGGTATTATGCGATAATCGTCATAGTATTGCGAAACATGTGATCCATGTGTTCGTGATTAATCAATTAAGATATTATTTTTGATTGAATTATTTTGATCGGTGATAATTTTTATGTGCATGATTATTTCAATATTGCAGTAGTGTAATATTTTTCTGAGATGGCTGCTCCACGAATGTTGTTTGGTTGTGTTAGATTGTTTCATTTTTCATCAATTCGTAGTTACTCCTCAACTCGACAACAATTCGTTGCTTTACTGAATGAGGAACTTAACGCTATTCAGGTTACCCTACTTTTATTTTGAATACGTCCTCATAATTGCTAACATTCTAAACATTAAGTAACTGATGTATTAACTGATATCACCAAGAAATGCTGATAATTTATAGGATGCTGGTACCTATAAGAATGAACGGGTTATCATTGGTCGACAAGGAATGGAAATCAAAATAAAGAATTACGATATGCCGATGTTAAATTTTTGTGCTAACAATTACCTTGGTAAATTTTTCATTTTATTGGAAGATAACTGAAATCTGTAATGGAAATGAATATATGAAAGTGTTCGCTTGCTAAATGCGTTGCTACCAAATAGGCTAACTTTTTTTTTTGCGAGATATGTTTTTTGCAAAATTCAGAATATTCCTTTTACTCTTTTTGAAATCAAACATTTTAAGGATTAAGTAGTCATCCAGAAGTGATCAAAGCTGGACAACAAGCAGTAGATACTCATGGTGCTGGTATGAGTTCTGTGAGATTCATTTGTGGAACACAGGATATACATCGAACTTTGGAACAGAAACTTGCTAAATTTCATGGCCGTGAAGATGCCATTCTCTATGCATCTTGTTTTGATGCTAATGGAGGACTATTTGAAGTGCTTACAAGTAAGCATTGAAAAAATCAATAAGTTTATCAAGTTTGAAGCATTTTAAACGAATTAAATCGTTTTGGAAGTCGAACATTTCATCAACGTTATTATTTGTCTATTTTTCATTAAGAAATTCATTTAGCGTTAACACTTAGAAATATAATGAAGATATGCTCCAATCTGCAATACTTTATGACAAAAAAATGCCTTATATCTTGTGTACGCTTTTCAGAACTATAATTGCCTTTTTCTGCTTTTAATTGGATATCTTTCACTAGATATGAATTGCCATATTTTATCTTTAGTTAAATATATTGGACTAGATGTGATAATCCGATCATTAGATATGACGAACTGATAAGCAACTTTGCTTAAACACTATAGATTTATTAGTCATACTATTTCATTATTTTATTGCTTTTATTTGCAGACTTTTATGATCAGTGAGAATTTGCAGACGATCAGGATGCAGTCATTTCCGATGAACTCAATCATGCTTCCATTATTGATGGTATTCGACTATGTAAAGCAAAACGTTTTCGTTACAAACACATCGATCTGAATGATCTGGAAAAAATCTTAAAAGAAACTCGAAGTAAATCATTAACTTTTTCATGCTATCGAATATGATCACTACTGTTTTATTTTTCTATTCAGAAGAAGAAAGAGAAGGTTGCTATTTCAAATTTGGAAACTCTACAAGATTTGAAAAAGTGGTGGTGTATCATTTCTTTATAACCTTCCAGAATTTCTGTTTAAATCTTAGCAATGAATTTTGAAGATAACAGACGACGAGTAATTGCCACCGATGGCGTTTTCAGTATGGATGGTGATGTAGCGCCGTTGAAGGAAATATGTGATCTTGCAGATCGATATAATGCACTCGTTTTCGTTGATGATTGCCATGCCACTGGTAGAAATATAACAATTTGTCGCTCAAATAGTTTACAAAAAAATTGAATTGGCATCAAATTTAAAACATAAACTTGAGGAAAAACGCTGTTTATTCGTTCTTTATCTATCATTAGTGATGTTTCGGTCAATACAAAAGAAAATATTGATCGCAAAAATGAAAAACTTTAAGCGAAGTCAAAAAAAGGAGAGTTTTTTTCCAGGCTTTTTCGGACCAACCGGTCGCGGTGCGGAAGAACATCTTGGCATTCAGGGCCGTATTGATATAATCAATTCTACTCTGGGAAAAGCCTTAGGTGGTACTATGGGCGGCTATACTACGGGACCTAAGCCATTTATTGACCTTTTAAGGCAGCGCTCTCGACCTTATTTGTTCTCGAATTCGCTGGCGCCATCTGTTGTCGGCTCTTCCATCAAGGTATTCAGATTGTGATGAAAGTGTTTTACATTTTCAAAAACACTTTTCCGACAGAGTGGATGTATTTAATCTCAAAAGCTTTTCTGGGTTATCATAATTGTGCGAGAGATCGATTTGATATGACTGAATTGTACTGTTATTTCATCTGCGAAATGGAATTCAAATGTTGAATTTTTGGAAAAATTTCCCACTTTCCCACTACAGATGCATCGCTTAATTCATTTATGAATTCCTCACACCTTTTATAGCCTACTTACTTACTTTGGAAATAACGTTGTAGTCGCGTTGTTTTGAATTCATAAAATATTAGAGTGAAAATTTTGCCAAATGTCGAATATACTGCTTATAGAGTGGAAGGGAAACTAAATTTTCTTATCATTTAGGTCCTTGACTTATTGACCAATTCGTCAGAATTTACAAGTTCCTTGAAATCCAATATATCTCATTTCCGTAAATCGCTTACTGATGCAGGCTTCAATGTAATGGGCAATTCCGATCATCCGATCTGCCCAGTATTTCTGGGTGATGCTAGGTAATTTCATATTTTTTTTTTTGTTGCTCGTATTATATGAACAGGTCAATAAATCAAGGAGTAACCGTAAAAGCGCGATATTTCTATATCTTTTTGTTTTTATGCGCAATGGAAGAAAAAAATAATGAAAATTTTAATTATTAAAATAATAATTTACGAACAGATTGGCATCAACATTTGCGGATGAAATGCTTAAAGAAGGTATATATGTGATTGGATTTAGCTATCCTGTGGTACCTAAAGGCAAAGCAAGAATTCGTGTGCAGGTACTTTTTCAAATTTTTATATCAGACATAGGGAGAAAAGCATAAAACCGTAGTTTTTTTGTATTCGCTCTCTTCGATCAGTCGCTCTTTAAGTGTAACACACTTTTTTTATCTGGCCGATACACTATATGATTTAGGTTGATAGGATCATGAAGGATATAGTTCTGATTAATTTAAAATTTTACACGCCTGATTGCAAAAAAGGACTTAAAGAATTCAAGGAATTTAGATCCTGTTTCCAAATACTCTCTTTTTTGTTTCACTCCAAAAAGAATAAAATATAGATTTCCGCGGCTCATACAAAACAACAAATTGATCAGTGCATCAGCGCATTTAAGACAATCGGGAAGAAACTTGGCGTTATCTGAATGAGCTCATCCAAACAACAAAGTACCGTTCCTTTGCATTACCCTGTTATTCGCATTATGCTTGATTTTATTCTTCAATTTTCTATTTGTTATATTTCAAACGATGTTGCTTCGCTTGCAATTCATTAATATGTTTGTTTCTATACAAAGAAAAACGCACATTCATTTCACTTCAGAAAATCTTTGCCCAAATCTATTGGTTCAACAAAATCAGGTTACAGTTGTTCGTTAAAAAATATCATGACCCGAAGGAATGCTTAACATCCAAATTTCAATTAGCTTGCTTTAACAATGCATAATTCTAGAGTAAACGCAGTACATTAAAGCAAGAAGGCATTCTTATCCATAATTCTTAAGTAATCGGACTTAGCGGAAAAACATTCGTCAGCAGATAAAAGATAACGCAATTGGCTTCTTTTCTGCAATTACTTCAGGCACTTAGATCTTTCTCAAATTTTATTTAATAACAAATAAACATATAAAAACACATAATTAGATAACACAGCTGAGGTATGTATCGAATCGGAAACAGAGGTATTGAAGGATTATAGATCTTAATCGTAGTTGCACATAGATATTCATTATTTTAATTGCAATATCAGAATTTGAATACTTAACTCATCTAATTTCGCGCCATCTAATTAACCGAGTCTTCCACTGAGAGTAAAAGCCCTTCGTATCAATTCTCGGAAGATTAAATGGACATCCTGAAAAAGTAGCTTCTCATAAGTTTTGTTTTGGGGAAAAATTATAAAATTTCTAAATTTGAAATTCAGATAGCAAATTTTTTTACTATGGGACGTAACAATGAACTTGCCCTTTTGATCTTGTCCAAGACAGAAGCATTTTCTTGTACCCTGCGAGAAAGATAAGGTAAAACTTTATCGATCGGTCCGTAAGGTACATATTTGTACACTGAATAACCAGCATTTGCAAGTGAATATGAAACCTGAAATGTCCAATATAGGAAAGATGTTGCCAGACAATTTCAGTCCACTAGAACTCGTTTTTCTTTTTATTGGTATTTCATTACTTTTTAATGCAGGCTTTTAAAAGTTTGTTTTTAGAATAGGAAGGGTAGCGAAACAGTGCGTTTTGAAGAACATCCGAAAAGTTAAGGTATCCATTATAAGCTATGGCGTCATCATCATAATTCTTTTGATTTATAACAATAACATGAAAACTAGAAAGAATATAACTCGCACAGTCTAGGAAGAGCATAATTATCATAACCAATCTACCTGGTCACACATTCCATAAAGCTGGGCAAAAGAGACGGTTTCACTGGAAGGTGATATTTCAGCTTCACGCATCATTTCAACAACATATTTAACGCTTTGCTCATTATGTGTCGCAGCCATTACCGATATACTACCAGGACTTCTTTCCTGACATTCCTTTATCATTCTTTGCATCACCCGTTTATACATCTCTGCTGTTGCCTAAAACAAAGTGAAAATGGTCATAACTGTTAATTCGAAAAAAATCTATCATCATTTTCACGATTTATCCTCGAGTTTTGGATACTTATTACAACGAACAGCAATAATTCAGAAATTTCAACTCTTTACTTCAATATTCGGATTGATTGGATCATCGTAATTTAGAGCAGCAGCACGTTTCCTTTCTTGTTCTACATATGCGCCACGAACAACTTTACATCCAAAATAGAAACCTTCCCGTCTAGCCAAATGTAAATCCAATTCAATATCTTTTAAGCAACTCTTCAAGTATGCTTGATAAGTGCTAAGAACTAAGGCATTTTCTTTGTTGTACCTGAAATCAAATAAATTGAAAGAAATGTAAAATCAATTGATGTCTACAAATTTTTTTGCAAACAATTAATTTCGCAAATTCTTTTTGTCTTCTTGAAATAAAATCTAAGAATCTAAAAGATCAATCCCTTTCAAATTTAATTTCTTATCAGATTACATTTGCTATTCTTTGCATAGATCAAAAAAAAATGTTGCTCAATTGACTGATAATTACAATTATATCTGACTTCCTCATCATTGCCATTGCCAATCTCGAAATAGCCGGTTGAAAATAACTCTGCTCAGCATCAATAACTGTACGTAAATTATGCTTTTTTCCATACTCAATTGTTCGCACAATACGATCCACCATATTAACAATCTAAAAAGAATTCCAAATTTTAGCTGAAAATTTTTCAAAGTTTAGTATTGTCTATATATTCATTCGTTCAAACAAAGAGTAAGCAAATTATAGATTTACTTCTTGAGACTCAGCCTCTGTTAAACAATTCAATAATGGTTCCATTTTCTTAGTTTTGATATTGTACACCTGAAAAAGTTTTTATTTAGGTTTTATAAAGTCAATGTCTTTTTTTATTCGAATAAATTTTGAAAAACCATGAAATTAATATACAAGACAGATTATCGGCATATGCAGCGTTGTTTCCTGAATATTTCTCTTGAAAACAGCGATAATATTTGCAGATAACCGATTCACACATTTTGCCCATTTATTGATTACTTATAATATGCAAAAACATCAGGACTGTCCAGTAGTAATTTGATGAAGAAATGGATTCATGTCTCACAGCAACTACAAATGAGCTTTTTTACCTTCAATGCTAATTTTTCAACAGTTCAAATTTTGTGGAAAATCTGAGAATCGAAAACTTTTCTTCGATGAAATTTGATTCCAGGAATTTATACATTAATTGTTTAACTACCTGAAACATCTGATTGGGCCGTTCGTGTTCGTCGATAAGTTTGCGCCAATCATAAAAGTCAACCAAGCCATTCTTGCCGAAATTTATTTTTAACCATTTCTGCATCATGGTTTCATCTATTTGAACACCGTGATTCTAAATGCTTTTAATTTTCTATTCGTGATTTGTGCGAGCTTTAAGTAAACTTAAAATTTCAATGCGAATATGTGTTTGTTTCAAATACTGAATGTATAAACAAAAAACCTCCATTCTTTTCAAAAATTCTTCTTTCCTAATTTTGCCAAGCAGGAGATCCTCCCAGGATGGGCCAATCAATGTATTGTAAAAATTATTCGATTGCGCTATCAATTCCGACAATTTCTGGAGCAATTGCGGTCTGAAATATGAGGTGTAGTTTGAAAGAGAACAAAAATTTGTCCCGATATGTGTAGGCAGCAAGATTTTAACTCATCGTAAAATTCTTGATGAATTCAATTAAACAAACAAGAAACCTTCCAAGAGCTGTTAATTTGATACAATTAATTCCGCAATTGTTGACTGCTGAAGTTATTGCATCTACACTGGCACAAAAAATGTCACAATTTTTATCGCATTGAACTTCGCTTTCGTTAACGTAGGTCCTGAAATGTTTCAGTAAGACATTAGAAAGAAGAAAGCTATATGAACACAGTTAATAAAACCGATTTTGGTAACTCTGAAACAGGGAACATCACCATTATATCGGATATCCTTCCTGAAGACTGCAAGCTCAAACGTCTTTATGGCCGAATTCTTCAAAAACTCAAGAAAATCAATAGAATGTCTCAAATTGATGATTTTGTAGTATACGATACAGAGTATAATTGCAAGTTAGATTTAATGTTTGTTCATGGGATTTTTACAAGAAGGGGATATGATGAGATTTCCTTGCACAACAGATTAGGGAGAAATTAATTTTATAAATGAGGTAAATCTGGACGATGCAAAAGCTGAATGGCAAAAACATATCTTATTCCAATTTTGAAGGAAAGCTTAAAATCAACCTGAAGTTAACAACATCTTCATCGTGACCATCAAATTCTTTGTGGACTGTATAATGTTGTCGTGTTTTTTCCACCGTTGCTTTGTCAATAACATTTCCAACCGACTAAAGTTAAAATTTAAATTTAAATTTTAAATCAGTGAATGTCGAAACAGATACCAACTACATGATATTTTTAGGATAGCTCAAATTTCTATCAAAGAAATCTATTGGTTAACAGAAACATACATGTAAATCAACAGACAGATATGCGAAAAAAACAGATAATTCCTAAAATTCGCAGAAAAATGTAAATATAGCAATCGAAATGGATAATATCAACAAAAATCAGTAAAATCGCAACTAATTCTCCCTCCTTTAATTGTTGAAAATCAAACCTCACTTCTGACTTCACTTCCAACTATTCCCTCTACAGCTTTCCTTTCAGTTTTGTCCGAAACAATATCCGACTCAACGCAGTAATCCAAGATTGATTTCACTCCATATTTTTTCAACCTTTTCATTGTCTCTTGGACCTTTAGCATTAAGTTTTCAGTTACACTTATGCAAATGAACCAAAAATTTTTCAAATGATTTGAATTCAAATTATCAATCGAGTAAATAAATTTATGACTTCGCAATTTCATAAAATTGAATTTCATTTTGAAAAGCTCTAAAAAATTTATTTGCTATAAGTATTTTAAAGTACAGATTAAAACTATCAGTATATTTCCTTTTCCCACTTTTCCTCTATTCAAAAGAATTCCAGAAAAAGCAATGTTATTATCCTCAATGATTTCAGGATGACAACAACACAAGAAACAACAAACAAGCAAACAAACATCTTTTCCGATACGCTAATTTTCTCAATATATTTTATATTCATTTTTTTGTATTGCCGCATTTTTTAGTATTCCTGTAAATTATGTAAATTTAAATTAGAAATTGATGTAAAATGCTGCTTATAATTTACCTCACTTATCGTTTCACCGCCGACAAATTGTCCGAAAAATGTTAATTTCAGAAGTTTCGCATAAAATTTTTCACCAAATAATTTTTTCAATCCAACCATTAGCAATTGTTCCCTCTTTCTTAATGTTGGTATTGTACAAAGAGGAAGTACAATAAGGCTACGAAACAATTCGCCCGTTTTTTTACCCTACAAAAACACATAATACAATGCAATTAAAAACTTTTAATTATCACAAACAATATAAATTAGGAAAAAAAAATGATTCCCTGGGAAAGTATCGCTCGTTAAACATTAGCCCCAATTTAATATATTTCCTATTTATGATTTCATTTATAAAATATTTAGAGAGGAAGAGAGAAAAAGGGAGAGAAAAAAGTACTTTAAATGCTGTTTTTGTGCTTTTAAAGTCCAAATCCAATTTATTGTAACATTCTTTGATTTCATCAACATTTACAGTTAGTGTTTGCGATGATACTTCCGATGACGACGACGACGACGACATACTGCAAATGAATTCAATCATAAAGAATAACAGCTGTTACCTAACCTAATCTATAAATTATGACAATTAGTTTTTGAAGTGAAGAAAAACTTGAGAAATTTTTGATAAAAAAAGAAAGCCAAAAAAAAAACACTATTTAACATCATAAATTTAATGAAATCACTACCAATTGCGAAAAACAATAAGAAAAATTTTCTCATGAAAAGGTATCGTACCGGTATGACAGACGCATCAATAATCTAAAGTTTGATAATGAAGTAAAACTGTTTGAATGTAATGATATTCCGGGCATTTTCTTCTTTCTTTCCTAGTAATTAAAGAAATATATGATCAGTGAAGTAAGAGTGGAGGAAGATAAGTTGTAGTATATTTTAGATTTTTCCATATAACAAATAACTTTTAAAATTCTTTATTAATTTATTAAATTTTCAAATTTCTCATATCAGAAATTTTACAACTAATTATATTTCACTAAGAAAATTTGGTTAACAATTTAGTAAGCTACTAACTCTTTGAAACTCTAAAATGATCATCTAAATTAAATTATTAAACAATATCATTAAGAAGAATGAATCATAATTATAATTTATCGATAACATAAAAGCAAAATAATTGAAATTATTGAAATTAAATATGGTAAATTGTTACATTTCAACAATGAATAGGAACATAATTATAATTATCGTTATTATATGAAAAAAATGATTGTCAACGATTGTCAATGCATCACATACCTTGCTATAGAAGGTTTTCAGGAATTAAAAAAATTTTGAAATTTAAACATGTAATATATGAGGACGTCAACTACCCATGTGATATTTTTGCAGGAGCCAGCAGTGTCTGTCTAGACGCACATATACCACTCTAAATACCCCCAACACATACACATACACACACACACACACAGATAAAGAGACACACACACACACACACACGCCCGTTTTCTAAGATTTACATGTTTCCCTTCTCGGCTAGAGTAGTAATAACTAAATGATAAAAGAAGCATCACCACGTGATTCTTGCTTCTCAAAGAAATTTCACTTGTATCCTCACCTGCACATATATATATAACACCTGTATCTATATTATCTATTTATATGTAAACATGCGTATATAAGTATAATACGTGCATATGGATATAATACGTGTATGCAAAATAGTCATTTTACTTTCTTAATAAAAAAAACGAAAATTCGAAAGTTTAAATTGGTATTTTGTTTTTCTACAAAATTAAAATTCAATTTTTAATCATTTTTTTGCTAAATTCGAAGGAAATTTCTGTTTTCGACGGAAAGATTGCAATAAAAAATCTTTCATATATCATCGTTTCGATTAAATCCGAATCAGTTTACGTGCATATTCTAAAGTGTTTAACATATAAATAATGTAATGACGTCAATTCCTTACAATTAAGCCATTTGTCACTTTTTGTTTCATTTTCAAAAATTTCAATTTTCACATTTTGATAGAATGAATTTACCACAATATCGTCAGACTGACAGAAATCTATATTTTCTGTGTTGAATAAAAGTAACTGAGTTTGATTAATTATTTGAATCAAATAAAAACTATTTATTATAAAATAATACAAATGAATCATATCTGTAATTTAGATATTATTGGTGAACAGTATTCGTTTATGGTACAAAGTTGGATTCATTGAAATATTTCGGGAAACTTTGATGACAATAATTTTGTCCTTTTCCGATTGTGTGTAGCTAACTAATTCTAAATTTGGTATTATCTCTCCTTACCACGGTGGAAATCATTATTATCCACTTCGTCAAATCTTCCTTTTTCATATTGGCATCCTCTCAAATTCTCACCATTTCATCGAATCACTATCAATTTAAATGTCCAGAATTTATAAACATGCACACATACTAATATGTAGCTATATTAAAGCAGACAGACAGACGTACACACAGACATGCACATACAGACATACGGACACAGACACACAGACAAACACATACATAGGGAGTGATCGGTTTGGGTATCGATTTATAGAACAATTTCATTTCAATGGCATTTGTGAAATTTTCACTTACAGTGTTTCCAATGATACATTTTAGCCCTATCATAAATCCAGTGTTTTGAAAAATGAATTGGACTTTGCATTGTTATTGGTGAAATTAAAACTAATTAATACTTTTAGTTTTATTCAAAATTAATTTATCATTTGATAAATTTCCTTTTTTTTTTCAATTTTCAAAATCTGAAAATTGATGATTTTGCAGCGTTGAATGAGAATGATTTTAAATCAACCTGTAGCATTAGCGGATAATACAACAATGGATCGTTCAAAATTCGGTCTTGACCTAACACTACAAGATTTAGAACCTTTACGAGTACCAATGACTGATGAAGAGGTTTTCTCTCCTTTATTATTATTTCATATTTTTATATCATCTTCTTTCACCAATAAATTAACCACGTTACTTACATATCTTTTTCAGTGCGGATCATTGTAAGATTTCACGATTACTGTGATTCTTGATTAATTTGATTTCATTAAATACCGTAAATTTCCTCGTTTTATCTCACCGTAGATGTTATAGACTATGCATATTATGAATGCAAAGTAGCTGCAGTAATAATTTCATATCACTTTTTTTTTTAATTTATTAATTATACAAATTATATTTTTGAAGGTGGAGGAGAAATATGAATCAATCCGAGAAAGATCTGGTGTACTTACTATAATGGGCACTGAATACAGGGCACAACTTTCTGACATTGTTGATATCAAGGAACTTGGTCGTGGCTCATTTGGAGTAGTCCGAAAAGCACATTTCAAGCAAACGAAAACACTTATGGCAGTTAAAGTATTCTACTTTGACAATTTGAATTTGACTCTATCATTCCGTATTTTTTATTTGGAAAAAATGAAATATCAGTATAGTAAATATTGATTTCTTCGTTTGCTATCAGAAGTTTATCCAACCTTAATTCATCATAAAATAGCAATGTTTAACAAACATTAAATTCGAACTGATAATTTTTTCTTGATAGATAATTCCAATAACGGGTAATGCAGAGAATAATAAACGGACAGTGATGGATATGGATGTTATTACGCGTTCCCATAATTGTCCAAATATCGTGCGTTGTTACGGTTGTTTTGTTTTCGAGGTAATGTACTTTTAAAAATGAATATATATTAGCAACATTGAGATAAACTGCTTTACTCAGTATGGTGATTTGAGCGTAATCATTTCAGTCGAAATTTTATAGTGTAAAAGATGTTAGAAATAGGATGTTCCATGAAGTGAAATATTTTTACGAACTATTAATCCAAGCATTTCTAGTATTTAATTCGATGGATTGTATGTGGTAGATTTTAAATAAAGTATTAAGTAATCAATTTCTTTTAAAATAAAAATCATAAATTTACAAGTTAGGAAACTTGAAAGAGATAAAAATTTGATTTGTGAAAAAAAGTGTGGATGTAGTCAGAAGTGCGAATATGCATGGAATTGATGTCGATGTGCTTGGATAAATTGCTCAAGTTAGCGATTCGTTTTCCGGAAAATATTGTCGCCAATATAACCAAATCAGTGCTGTTGGCATTGGAATATCTTAAAGAAAAAGAGGTTGTTAAAATTTATTGTACTTTATATTATTTCAATTTTTTTTTTGGTATAAAATATAGATCCATCAGTGCAAGTGTATATTTTAATTTATAAATTAAAATTCGGATTTTGTATGTAGTGTTTTTTCTAATTGCAACATGGATTTTCTATTTTATCTGGACTCTGATTTCTGGTTTCTTGTTTCAATTTTAAAACCAAAAGCTTTGTGTCTCTCAGTTGAGACATTTTCAGAATATCATGCACCGAGATATTAAACCGTCGAATATTCTAATCGATCATAGCGGCACAATCAAATTATGTGATTTTGGTATCGCTGGCCGGTTGATTGATTCCAGACGAGCAGAAACAAATACCAAGGGCTGTACTGCTTACTTAGCGGTTCGCCTTTTTGTCTTCGAAAAAAAAGATCATTTCAAATTACACAGTTAAGGAAAAAAGTGCGTTTCAAAGTATGGCATTGTTTAAACAAACGGTAGATTATCCAAATGGAATCTCACTAAACTCTGGATAGAATTTTAATTTTTATAAAGAAAAAGGATAAGTACAATATTTCTCAGCCTCTTTCTGCTGTCTCAGTCATCCTTATTTTACACAATTTTCGATATTTTATTGTTTCGACTTATAATTGCTTTTGATAAATTTTATAAGTTAAATTTTGTTTATTTAATAAAGAAACCATCAAAGTGAATAAAATTTCAGCCTGAACGTGTAGCAAGCAGTGATTGTGAATATGGTGTACGCGCTGATGTTTGGAGTTTAGGAATAACACTTATTGAGCTAGCCAAAGGAACTCACCCGTACGACGGTTGTGCAACAGATTTCGAGCTTCTTACCAAAATTATAAATGACCCACCACCACGACTTACTCCAGCTCAACACTTTTCGCAAACATTTTCACTGTTCATTGCCAGATGTCTTGTGAAACGACCTATTGATCGCCCCAATTATTACGAGCTTTTGGTTTGCATTTTTCCTTTTTTGGATACGTTTTTAGAAATGTATGTTTATCATTTGTACTTGCGTTGCATATATGAAATGTATGAAAGGCAGTGCCGTAGTAAATTTATTTTCAAAAATAAATTACAGTAAGTTTCAAAGTTTTTCGTTTCGCTAAAAAATACTTGGTTATATTGTCACTATGAAAGCCATAAATATATAGTTGATTCATAAAAGTTGAAATTTTTGCAGTAATTCTCTTTTCTGATAGGCTGAGGCATATAAAATCGACCTTAATGCCTGCAACAATATTAAGAATAAAGTTAGAAGTTACTTGTATAAACATCTCACTCAAAGATGTCAAACTTTTTCTTTTCAGCAAGATCCATTCATCAAAGGGAATATGACAGATACAGTATCAGTTGCCAAATGGTTTAGTGCGCTATGTGCATGAATTCAGCTTCTTTTTTCACTAATTATTCGTAGAGTTTTGTTTGGAGAACTTAAGAATTTTGTATCCTTCAAATTTACAGTTGGTAAGTAATAATCCGATTTTTTTCTTCGGAAAAAAAGTTCTTGAAAATGAATCTAAACCATTTTCACGATCAAATATTACCCTGTTTTGCATACTCCAAGTATTATGCTGATTCCATGTTTACATACATGAATCTATGTATAATATTCATGTTTGAATACAGCTTTGAGATTTTATGATGATGTTTTAAACTGCTTTTATAAGTCAGTGAAAATTGTAACGTCATAATTGATTGTTAGATTTGGTTCACTGTATTTGCATTTTTATTACATTAGTCTTCAGATTAGAATTTAGAAATTTCAACTTATATATGAAAAATGTTTGCTACATCCTATAGAAAAGTTGTTTGACTTCTCAAGTGTTGTTAATTTATTCGTTGAACTATGTTGGAATTAGGAGTCGATAAAAAATAAAAGGAGGTTGCTTTGTTTATAGGTGCTCTCATTTATAATCATTTATTGTTTTGTCTTTTGTTCTTTTTTTAAAAATAGCCGATCACATAATTTCTTTTACAAATAATCCTTAGTACCATTAATAAAAAATGTTGAATTTTAGGTTTTGTTAGCAATATGTTTCGAATAATGTCGCAAATACTTGAACGAAAAATTTGATTCATTTGTTAAAACATTCGTTAACAGCAGAATTTTTACAACAACGAGAATATACAATGGAAAATTCATTGACTATGTTCCACCATTACTCGCTGAACAGTTCGAAATAGAGTCTTTCGTATTGCCACTATCACGGAACAACTGCAATGATTCAGGGATATTTCATATGTATTTTAAGAACTAATTTACTTTAATTAAATTATTATATTACTAGACGATTTGTTTTTGTATGGTTTCAAATTATTGATTTTATTAGATAGAGAAAAATGTTCATGGGTTAGTGTGTACCTCATTTTTGTTCATATCGCTATCGGATGATAGTAAGATTTTGGAATCAATCGGGCACAACCGATATTTTCCATGCCCGTCGTAATGCAAAAGATGAGTGTGAAATCGCCTAAAATTGGTATTGTTTGGAGTGTTTTACGAGTTTTAAAACAAAATTTTTCGATAAAAACGTCTATAACATGTTAGCTTTCTTTTTGAAATGAAAGTCCCCTCGTTTCACATTCTTACCTTAGCTTACAAATTTAAACTATGAAAAATTTGGATTAGAAAGTTAGAAATTTTTGAGTGAATTAAGAAATTCTCGAACCAGTAATGTTACATTTACCAAAGGCTTGGTCGATGTGACACAGAGAGAAGTGTAAATCCGGCATCTTTCATTGCTTGATAAATCAGTGCCTCGACATCTATTGATATTGCACTGGTACATTCATCCAATAAGGCATACTTTGGTTGATGGTAAAAAATCCGTGCTAAGCCTAATCGTTGCTTTTCACCGCCTGACAGAACATCAATCCATTCACGTTCGCTTTCAAAACCTATAATTCCAATCAATCTTAAAGTATTGGAGAAATTTTATAGTTTTTTAATTTTTTCTGTAAACTTAATTTTTCTTGTTTTCCTGATTGTTTGCTATGAAATTTCTTCATGCTTCTATTACTGTTTGTATTCGAAAAATATTCAAATCACAAACCTCCTTCACGTTCCACAATATCACTCAAATGTACCGTTTTTAAAATTTCTATCAAAGCACTGTCCGTGATACCCTTCCTTCGCATATCGAGCAGAGTATCCGGATAAATTATCTGTTTCAATTTCTTCGTTATTTATATACTAAATTCATGTAAAAGCAATAGCATATTAGTAATGAAGTATAATAATAGTAGCAAGAAGAGTTAATTAAAAAGATAGGTAACAAAAACTGGAAGATAGGCAGTGTAAAAATACTAGTAATTAATTTCTCACTATTTCTGATATTAGTAGCGTGAGAGAAAAAATGATCAAAGGTCAAAATATATAATGATTTATCAATTAAGCATATTTTTTTAGATTTGTTGTAAGCTAGAAGAAACCACTAAATGTCTAAGTTATATATTTCTTGCAATAATTAAATCGTCCATTGACATATTTCCAATCTCTTTTTTATGGTTAAAATAAATGGAAGATAAGCAGGTTTATAATAATTAAATGATAACTTACGTCATGCGTTCAGTATGACAAATAATTATCGAACTTTACGGATGTGGGTGTAATGAGATACGATTTATCTAACGCTAAAATGGATAAATATTACTTACCAACCTGTTCTCTTAGATTTCCGAAGGTCATGTACGGTCGTTGAGGTAAATAATACATTTCTGCTTCTGGTGGTAATTCTAATCGTCCACGATGTACTGGCCATAAACCACCAAGAATTCGAAATAGTGAACTCTTACCACAGCCATTTGGACCAGTTATGAATAAATGCATGCCAGCATGAATCTATCAAGTTCATGATATTAAGAGGAAAATTAAATTTACCATTTCACAGAAATTTTGCTCTCTCTCTGTCTCTGTTTTGTTTACTTGGCAACCATATCAATTTTCCCGGTGTTCATTTTTTGTAATTTAATTGTGAAGTAAAATGGAACGGTATGTTTTAATTGTTTTAAACTTCCAGTTAAAAAACCTGTTTAAATTATAAGAAAAAAAATGAACATTTATCACTTATTCCGGAAAATTATGTATTAACTTAGCAAACTGATCATCTTATTCTCCATATTGTAATTATGAACATAAAGTATATATTCAAAAGAAGTGGTAAATTAAAGAGTCAAATATGATTGCTTCAAATTCTCTCCTCTCTTCAACCAACGAAATGAAACTTTTAAATCATTTGGTTTTAAGTTACAAGAGTAACTCAATAAGTTAAATTCAAATATTTCTCACAAACCTCAATACTGAAATTGCTGATAATGACATTACCAGTTGGAGTAACAATAGGTACATCGCATAATCTTACAGCATCATTTGCTTGAACAATTTGACCTGTAAATTTTCAAAATGTATTCCTGCAGAACAAATAAACAATTCAGTAATTGAAAATAGAAATGTATACCTACAAACAAATAAATAATTGAAAATAAATAGTCTATAATTTTTCAAATATTGTTGCTTTTTTTTTGGCCAAATTTTAGATAAATAAAATTTCAAACAACAATTTTTAATTCCTCAAATTGAACTTAAACTATATTATACATTCATGAAGAAGCAATTACCACGTATTTCATGAGTATTATACTGTTCCATTTTATTCTCGTTCGCATTTTCCAGACTTTTTTTTCGAATAAATTTTTGTTGTTTTACATCCTCAAAAACTTTGAACATATGATAAACACGTGATACATATCCAATCAACTCAACCACCTGTAATATTATTAATATATTTTAAAATAAACAAAGAATTTTTTATAGCAGAAAATTTGCTAAAAAAATAAATCGAAGTATTTAATATAATTTTAGCAAAAATTTGTAAAATGATAAAATAATAAAAATCTAAAATTATGCAAACCTCTTTATAGGAAATCATCATTTTTTCAGCAGCACTTGCTACTACAGTCATTAAATTTTTTGCTGTCATAAAATTTCCTGTTCGATCACCCACTTTTATTCTTGCTGAAAGTTAAAAACACGTTTGTCACATACGATTATATTTGACCTGAAGAAAAGTTAACAATATTTCTTTTAAACTATTTTTGAATTACTATTTTAAAAAAAACTTTACATGCATTAAGAGGACTTACATGATACTTCGGTAGATTTTGCAGTGAATAGCGGGAGAGCAATTATAATCATACCCGTAGCTGTCCACAAATATTTCAGTAAATACTGTTCCACCATAATATACGGTATTTTCTTTCGGCAGATTAAATATGCATGATGTTGAATGTTATAAAATGCTTTTAGCAGACAAGTTTTTTCAGCCTAAAATTTTCGACTATTTTATTGTTTCTTGCATCGGAACTTATTAAACTTACTTCTGCTAATGTGTAACTAATAAATTAAATTTTCAGTTCAAAAGCTAATATTTCAATATTTCGGTTACTTTAAAATGCGAATAAGTTGCAATAAATAATAGACTGGTAATAAATTATTCAATAATGAAGCATTTTGTTTCTGACCTCATGACCTCTGTAAAGTGCAACTTCCTCGGAATTAGCAATAAGACGTGAATGCAAAAAACGTAGAGCGCCCTTCTTTTTTGACTCTTCCGAAAGCAATTCACTGAAGCTGTAATAACAAGAAGAATGATAAAATAATTTTGCAAATGATGAGTTATTGTTAGTTAAAAGAAAAATTTAGTTTTTGAAATAAACTTTGTAATGATGAAAATATGGACAAAAAAGGTTAATTAAAGAACTCACTTTGGCGATATGTATCGTAGCAGTCCGGCAGTACTCATTAAGACACTAGAGCCCATGATAATCAAAATGAATATACCTGAACCTAATCTACCTTTTCGTAATTTGTATACTAGCGTCAACCTGGAATTACCAAAATTGAATAAATTGACATTGATGAGAGTTTTGTTGAAAAGTGCGTAAGAATATTGAATATTTTTCAAGATTTTTTGAGATCGAATGGAGGTTTTAAATTTTTGAAATTTTAAATATTATGTGAAAGGAGGAGGTAAAAAAAAAGCGGTACCCTACGAAAATGATGTCGAAAAGTGGTTTAAGAATTAGCGAAAAGAGGCGTGAAATTATTTGACAAAATGCCGTAATATCATCTGTTAAACACTGATCAACATTTTTTAGTCGTTCATCCAAACTATTTACATGATAATATGTAAAATCCTGAAAACTTTTTGTACCATAATATTATTTCGAGAAAAAGAAATCTGTTTTATCTTGATGAAAAATTACTTCGAAATATTTAAATTTAAAACTTGAAAATTGAAAATTTAAGTTTGAAATTATTTTTACTTATTATTTCTACTATTTATTAATCGATAGACAATGAGTGCTTTTAAGCAAAATTAATAGTTTAAAATATTTTACGAATTTTTTTATAAAGAAAAGTTGAATTTCAAACAAACCGATAAATATTTGTTGTAAGCGTATTGAGTAAGACGAGCGCGAAATGCTATGGCAACATATCCTTCCATGAATCTAAAATAGATAATTTTAAAATTTATCAGTCAAAACTATTTGCACATATCACTATCAAATTTTAATTTCACTATTAAATGAGAAGAAAATGATAATTTCTATAAGTAAGCTATAAGTTAAAATGATATTTAAATTATATGAACTATTTGTATTTTCTTTTATGGCAATAAATTGAATATTTTCATAAAGAAAAAGAAAGACAAAATTTCTATTAAACTAAATTTGATGAAAAAGAATTTTAAATAGATGTTGTTGTCGAATTTAATTATTCAATTACATTATTGACCAAATGGATAATGGTAATGTATTTTGGTCACTTAAAGGAAATGATTTAACTGAATATCAAAATTACATGACATTGTTGCAAAAATTGCAAATTATGATAGAAAGTTTTGAGGTAAAATGACAATAAATTTTAATGATCAATGATAAAAGTTTATAAATAAAAGAAAGAAAATTGATAACATACTTAATCATACTGTTAACAAATGTAGCCGGTAATGCTACCAGGAACCATTTAATAAGATATCGAATAAATGCAGAGGATTGTTTTTCAACAATTGTTCGAATTAAATGACCTTCCAAAGATGCTACGTAAATGGATAGTAATGTTCTTGACAGTAACACAACGGAATACAGTGCTAAATATTATGAGAATATTTCTGTCACTCTTAGTGAAGTATGTTTTTTTTCTAACTGATCAATGATAATAGATCTTTATTGATTGAAATCATTTTAATCCAGGATTTTTCGAGATTTTTAAATTAGGAATTTTTAAATTAATTAAAATATAATAATAAAGAAAAGAAAAGTCGCTAAACTTACTTATAAGCAATGTTTCTTTACATTTGAAACGTGGAATAATAATTTTTAATAGAAAATGAAGTTTATATAGAAGTTTTGTATTCATACTACTATACCATTTTGTATATTTCCATCTTCCTACATTTTTTTGTTTCGAAATTGATGACGGAACTATAATAGTATTTATTTCATTAATGATTTAAAATATTAATTTTTAAATTTCGAATTCATCTTTTCAATTTCTAACTAATTACACTGTGTGCTCATTTCGAATATCAAATATGAAAATAACTAGCTTAAAATAGCGATAAAATTATCACTTATCATTCATTTATCATTTATCATTTTAGTTTGAAAATAAATTTACTTCCTTTCCTCGCAATATTTACAAATGCGATAACACAAAAAATTGAAGCGATTGTAGTAGCGCCATAAAATAAATGATTCATCGAAGTGTTTCCAGAAATATGATGAAATTTGGATAAAGCTGCCATATTTGCATATATTTTCCAAAATTCGTTAAGCTAAATAATCACAATAATAAATCAATACATTATTTTCCTGCAATAATAAAACTAATCATTGATATTTTTCAACTGATAATATATTTCCAAACAAATTGATAGAATGATTAAATGTTATGCAACGATGAAATATGCAATATAACATTTGAAAAGAAACAGATGTGAATGATGAAAAAATTGGAATCATTGATTTTATATTTCACATTCACGTTCACTAGATGATAATCAGTTAAATGATTTCCTTTTTTTTTACAACAATAAATGGAATGTAATGATAAATTTTAGTATAAATTTAACAGAAGCTGGTAGAAATTTCAGCATTAAGAATGAAATATATATATAATGATAAATTTTAGTATAAATTTAGCAGAAACTGGTAGAAATTTCAACATTAAGAATGAAATATATATATGTGTATTTAATGATAAATTTTAGTATAAATTTAGCAGAAGCTGGTAGAAATTTCAACATGAAGAATGAAATATATATACATTTCATATATATTATATAATATATATATATATATGTATAATGCATATAATATATATATAATATATATGCATAATATATATGTATATATATTTGAAAAAAGAAAAAAAAGACAGGTATACCAGGTGAGTGTAACAGAAGAAAACAAGTTTGATAAGGCTTCCTTCATGAATGTTTGGGGACACTCCTTTCGTTCATCTTCCTCATTTCAAATATTTTATTATCTTCTCTCACTCTCCCTCCCTTTTCTCCCTCTCTAATGCAATTATTTGCAAAAATTATTTCAACAAAAGAAAAAAGAAGAAGTGTAAAATAAAATTTTAATGCATATTGATTGTAAACATTGAAAATGATTACTCATATATTTTGTGATTACAATTATGAATAAATAATGATATAACTAACTATACATATTGTAATAATACATCAAAATATTCATACTAAAATAGCATATTATTAATTATTGACAGATAATTTCAATATTTATCAAAATTATGAAATTAATAATAAAAATTCTGAGTCTCTATGAATATGTCAACATCTTCGTTCATTTCGTTTCGCTTCGCTCAAAGCACTAACGACGAAATTTCATCAGATAAACTTCAGAGCAAGTTTCAACATACATTCTTCATCGATTGATTATATATACATATATTTACTATTAATTTATAATTTATTTCTTTATCTATTAAAAGGCTAAAATGTTTTTGTTTATTAATTATTTTCATACAAGATTGTTTCCAAATAATTGGAATATATGTATCATCAAACTGATTAGATAATTGATTAAATAATCGGTCCGAAAAGAAAAATTAAATTCTTTGTTTATTACTGTTTCGAATTTATTAAAAAATTATTTGTGTACAAATTGAAAATTAATTCCAAAAAAAAAGTGCGTTTCGATCGAGATTAATTAAGTTTTTTTTTTAAAACAAAAAGAAAATAGTAAGTTTAAATTAAATGTTCAAATTGTTTTAATAAAAAGAGAGTTTCAAATCATTTTACTCACTTAAATTTAAAAAAAGAAAGTTATCAGTAAATTTGAATATTTTTTGATTGAATAATTAAGAATTAATTATATTAATTAATAATATACCAGCAAAAATAATAGGGAAAAAAAAGATTTGGATGAAAATTTTTTTTGTATAAATATAGACGATGATTTATTTCAATACTTAAATATTTTTGAAAAACAAAAAATCATACTGGAAGTTAAAAGTAATAAATTTTAATTTAAAATACAAATCATACAAAAATGTAAATGTACAAATATTTCTCATACAATGAGCAAATTTCGTAAGATCTAATCAGTTGTAGATGAAATTCATCAATTTTAGTTAAATTTTATAATCTGATAAAATTTATGCGATAATTTTGTAATCTGATAAAACTTATGTGCGACGATATTGTTACTACTGCATTTTGTATCATATCAGAAAATTCGAAATAGTTTTTTAACAACAGACAATTTGGATAGCTGAAATGAAATTGCAGAAGCATTATTTTATTGAAGCAAATTCATCATAGAAAAATATTGGATTTCACTTCTTTTTTTTTTTGAAAATTAAAATTTCTAAAATTTGCATAATTAAAAAGGTAAATCTCATTTTTCTTTGTCTTTCAGAATAAAGAAAAAAAATGCAATCTTCCTTGATCTTATTTGTTAATTTTGAGATTTCAATTTAAGCACTTCAAAATTTCTAGTGAATGAGAATTTTTAAAGGAATATATTTTTCTTTATTAAATGCTGGTTTCCACGTTCAATTATTACAACTCTAATGGGTTTATATGAATTACTCGTTTTCATCTCTTTTAAATACAATTGAACAAGAAGTGTGTAACATTATCTTTGTTTCGTGACACAATTTCATTTATTTCCCTTTCACATATTGTTTTAATGAAAGGTCAATTTGTTGAAATAAAAGTGAAATCTATTAATTGTAATACTTTAATTATTAATTCCATGCTTGTATAATTGTCTAATAATATTAATTTTACTACATTACTGTAATTTTACAGATCATTAAATTCATATGTAAAAAATTTTTTTTTAATTTATAAATTTATAATCATATTAACTAATCAGGTTTTATAAATTATTCAACTGTTACTCATTTTATCTAATAACTGGTTATTTTTAGTTATAACTGAAATTTATTTTCTAACATTTTTGTTGTTGACATTTGCAATGTTAGTTTTCCGTATTTGTGTGCAACAATGAATTCATTTCGAGTGATGTTACTATGATCTTTAACTTGTTTTATTGTAAAAATGAATGAATATTATTCGCAAAAATTTGATTAACAATAAATTTGCATAAAATGTTGCAAAGAAGAAAAAGGAAAATTCATCAGTAAATTAAGCAATCGTTACAATAAAATGAAAAATCATCAAAATTCATGAAAAAAATTTGAGATTTGATCGTTAACTATTCTTTCCATTAGCATCCTCAACCGTATCTGCTGGCGTAAAAAATTCAATATTCATAATTTCAATCATAAAGTGAACGAGACGTACTCGTTGGCAATCAATAATGTATCATTAAATTAAATGTTGAAAAAAACTTTAGTGAAAAGATAAATTTTTTAAAAATTGGAAACAATCATAGTTCAGACTCATTGTTTTCTTTTTTTACATGCAGAACATTAATAGAGTTGCGCTTGTGTGACAGTTTCAAGTCAACTAATCTAAATCGTTGTATTTCAAAATCAAATATTTTTGAGAAATGATCGAAAAAGTCTCACAGAAAAAATTCCACATAATACATTATTGGAGAAAATGTAATATAATGCTTGGTCAAGGATGGCTATAGGTCAAATTGGAAAGATATATGTAGCTGGAATCAATGGTTAAACATGGACGTCTTTAAGCGAAAAGATACAGTCAATCCCATATGTTTTCCTTTCATTTCCACCCGGTAGAAAGGAAGTCAACAATGTGAGGCATAATCTGGCGGACTGTCCTCTTGAACTTTTGTTTTTTAACCATCTCATAATCATACAATGGTATTAGGTCGTCTCACACAAGTCAGTAATCATTAAAGCATATCCAAATTGTTTTTTTATTTAATTTATTCATAATTTGAATTTGTTTTTCAACCTCTAAGCTTCGATGAATTCCATTGTTTCAATCTTTATTCTCTAGAAGTTGTAAATAAAATTTTCGGTATTTACAATACAGAACAGATTATAAGCAATTCAAAACAATTGTTGATGATGAATCGATGTTCATGGTAAATCAAACATCTTATATGAGAAGACTTCAATTTTTAAAATATGACTGAACTTGCCATCGACTCCATGCAGTTTAACAAATAAATTCCCAATGTTAGATTAAAATTCATCAATTAAACCCAAAATTTACAAATTCTTGAAATTTCTGCTGCAATATTTGCAGTGTAAAATACTTGCATTATGTTGAATAAACAGTTAAAAGCATTCCAGGAAATTTTCAAACTCAGATTTTTGTAGCAATTTTTGAAACTGATTATGGGAATTCGGAGTTATTGTAAAAATATGTGCAGTAATTGCAATACTTAATTCCATGGTGTGTAAATAAATAAGAACGTACCGTCACTAATCTTCGAACATTTCAAACTTTTCAAGAACGAAGGCTAATTCAGGTGTTTTCAAGATTTGAAAATGCCACTTCGAAATTTTTTCAAATAGCTTATTCTTTTCAATTCATTACTTTCATTTGACTTAAAATCCTCTTTTACTTTAATGGAGTTATCGCAAACTGCAAAGACATGAAATGTGATAACTTCATTTTTAGCGTGATTTTAATAGTTCTCAGGTAAATAATATCAATAACAAACGTTCAAAGCTATCTAATGGCTGTTGTTGGTTATTTATTGACAACTAATCTGGAAAAGATCCATAATGTACAGTAAGTAATAATATATTTCTGGAAAACATTTCTCATTATTTTTGAATTTTATATAGTTTATGATGGAATACGATGACCATACTTACTCTTATTTCCGTCATAAATCGAAAAAAAAATCTTATAACTATTGAAAGAAGTTAACTCACTTTAATTACAAATCAATCTTGTAATGCTGAGCTATTTATTCATGAATTAGTTTATTTCTACAATCGTCCCTATATTTTAGAGAAAAAAACCCTTCCTGGTATGAGTATTCGAATTCGATGACTTCCAAAATTTCTTTTGAAAATAATAATTGCCATTGTCCAAGAAACAATTCATTTTATAAATTCAATGATTGAAAAACTGGAATTTCAACTCTAAATTTGTATAGATATATTTAGTGAAGTGGCACTTCTAAAAATATTACCTGTTAATTTTAAATCTCGAGTTAATAAAAAGTTATTAGATTGAAAGTATATAACTATGTGTAGATGGGTGATAAGCAAAAAATAAAATTTCATTAGACAATTGCAACAAATACATGATTGAACAAATTTTGTTAATAATGAGTCTTAAACAAATACTCTTACTCAACTGAAATTTATAAACTT